CCCCCCCCCCTTCCTCCTCCTCCTCCTCCTCCTCCTCCTTCTCCTCCTCCTCCTCCTCCTCCTCCTCCTCCTCCTCCTCCTCCTCCTCCTCCTCCTCCGTCCTCGGGGATCTGTCGGGGGTGGACAGACCTCCTACCCTGACACGTCGGTTAGTGAAGTGGCCGTGTTTGGCTCGCGAGAGGGCGTCGCGGCCGTCATTTTTGCGGGTCCAGGTCCGTCGGTTTCGGTCCCAGGCCGTTGTCACTAAAGGGAGGTTTGCTAAAGGGAGATTTGTCCACCGCCGAATCGGACCCCGCGATCCGGGCCTTGCCTCGTTTTCGCCGCTTTTTGCGGATAGCTCCCTGGAGAACCATAGAGAGGGTGTCTGATGTTAGAAGCTGGCAGCAGAGGGTACAGGCCAGCCCCTCTCTCACAGGCTCCTCGGCAGGCATCCCCGCAGCAGCCTGCTGGAACTCGCAGCGTGTCCCGAGAGCGTTCGCCTATACTCGTTCCCAATACGCCTGTCGGAAGCCTTTCCGCAGCTCCTTGGAAGCTCCTTGGGCCTCCTGTCAAGCTCCCTTCCCCGAGCTTGCAAGCTCCCCAGGCATTCTTTCCAGCCTCATGCCAAGCGTCATCTGGAGGCACTTCCGGCGCTTTGGAATGCGATGCTATCCGGGATTTGGACGCCACAAGTGGACCTCCTGGGAGGCCTTCGTCGCCAGTGCTGGGTTAAGTTGGGCATTCTGGTATAGCAGTATCGGTATCTTGTGGTTTCCCAATGTTCCCAATGGATGCGGACAAAAACACGAAGCACACACAACGAGGTCCAGCGATCAGTGCAAGCCAGTAGGGAAGCAACTGAGCACGAATCCAGCATCTTCGGGGGGAACCAGCGCTGGCTTGCCAAAACACGGCGGGGACGGGGGCATCTCCATATTCCTGCGGTCGCAACCATCACCGCGAATAGTTATGTTGGACATCCGGGCACATGAGCCAGAGACGCTCAACAGATGGATGTGCACCATGTTCCTGGCGAAGGCCCGCAGAACTTACTATATATATATATATATATATTGTTGCGCGGCTTCCACTCAACGTTCACAACAAAACATACAACATCAAGTGTCGGGTGTCTAGCGCCGATCCAACAAAACTGATAGACCTCCGACAATCTGTGTTTATGCAGTTTGGTGATCCTCTTTTCACGTTGGGCTTTGCCGGAGGTCAGCTGACGTTGCAATTTCGAGGGGGGGCGGCCTGGGCCGTAACGGAATGAGTTGTTTTTTCCTGTGTTCGACGCAGGGCCGACACGCATTCGACGTAGACTCGTGGATTCGCGGTTTGACGCGGAGCGACGCGATGGGACAGCAAACCGGGCCAGGACGACCCCAGCGTCTCCAGGTGAGGCTCGGGCCGGGCGAAAGGGGGGGATTGGGAAAGGGGGGGTTACGAAATTTGCTGCATGCAGCTGATTTCGGCCTCACCGAGGGGCCCATTCCTCGATACATGGCCGCCTCCGGCGCCGGGAGGCGCCGGGAAAATCAGCTACGTGAGCTGATTCTCAAACCCCCCCTTTGCTATCCCCCCCTTTCGCCCGACCCGAAGGTGAGGCGTGGACGCTGCTGGCCAGCTCGGACCCTCACGGCCGCCTCGGAATCTGCCGGGGGCCCCGTCCTGGCGGCCTCCCGGGCCACCTCGGGCCTCGGGCCCTCTTTCTGTTCAGGACGTCTGGGGAGTCTGCGGTAATTCCAAGACGAGAGCTGCATGATGTTGCTGTCTCTCCGTAGTCGTGTTGTTGGCTCAACGCCACGAGCGCGCGGACAAGCGCGCAGCAGGAAACGTTTACCATATGTCCTAGTTTCTCACCTTTTGGACATCAATCGGTGACGCGCTTGTGAGTTGCTGCCTTGGAGTGGGATTCCAGATTCATTGCTGTGAGTCTGGTGGAAAATACAGCAAACGAGTATTTCCAAACAACAGTTCGTTCTGTTCAGGAGCGAAAGAGGGACGTACACGTACATGAATCCACGCTGGCTTCGAGGGTACGCATTGCGCAGATGCTCGTATCACGCGGCGGGTCTCGCGGATCGAGGGGCCGTGCTCATGTACACAGCTGGGCGCGCACGCCTCTGGTGGGCTCCCTCTCTGCGCGTCCCCGTCCCTTCGAGCAGAGGGCTCCGCGCCTCCCGTGTGCGGCTGCCTCGGCGGAGGGCCACGCGCGGCGCGCCCGGCCGGAGGCTCGGCCGGCGGCGTGGGAAGGCACCATCCACCGACCCACCCCACAGCCCAAGCCCGAAGGTCACCACCCACCAAACCACCCCAACCCAACCCGAAGGTCTCGATTTGCCCTCCATTTCCAGTTGGGGGGGGTCGGGGAACATCGAGAAAACACATATGGAACCCGTACCCCCCCCAACCCGAAATTCGGGTCTTCGGGTTGGGTTGGGGTGGTCTGGTAGGTAGTCAGAAGGGCCCCAGATTGGCGGGAGCGGGCGCTGGCACAGGGTCGGGCCTCGGGCCGAGCGAGCGGGGGGGAATGGGAAAGGGGGGGGCGGGGGCGAAAGCTGCCGCATGCGGCCGGTCTCGGCCCCGCCGCTGGGCCCATTCCAAGCGGGGGGAGCGTTGGGGAACACTGAAAACGCGCGTGGAGCCCGCTACCCCCCCCCACACAACCCGGCATTGGGGCTTCGGGCCGGGTGAGGCTGGTTCGGCAGGTGGTCATTTTTTGGCAGGGACCGCCGGCGTTTTGGAATCTGGCACGCCGGGCATTCCTTTGGATGCGCCGAGAGGGCACACCGATCGAAGAGGTTCACTGCGAGCAACAGCTGCTCCTTCCCGTTCTGGACCTGCCGACGTGACGTGGCGATGGGTCAGAGCTAGGCCATGGCTCGGCCAGGCCCTGCGTTTCCCCAGCCGTTGTGGAAACCGTTTGGTCAGGAGGGAAAAATGCACACAGACACAATTCATCGCCGATTCCCAGGAAGAAACTATGGGAAGTGTGGGGGAAGGCAAACACCCAGAAAATATAGGAAAATATGGGGAGTCCTGTTATTAGTGATTATTTATTTGTGTGTCCCAGGGCCCCTTCATGTGGGGACATGCAAGGGAGAGAGGGAGAGAAGCAGGAAATCAGGAGAAGGAATAGGAGGTGGAGGAGGCTTCTTGGAGGGCTTCTTGGAGCCGTCTTGGGGAGGGGCCTCCTAAAAACTTGCTGGACACTTCTAAAGCCAATCGGAGCCTCTTAGGGGCCTGGCTGGGCAGTCTTGGGGCGTTCTTGCCCCGTCTGGCGCACTCGGTGGCCGTGTTTGGGGCCTCTCTGGGCCGTCTCGGTGTCCTCACCGAACGCTTTCGTTTGGCACGGTGCCGGCCGATTTAGTGGTTTTCGGCCCCTCCGTTCACCGTGCTTGCGTCTTGGACCTGAGGCCTACTAATAAGTCGGGCCTGTCCCTCTACAGGAGGAATATTCAAATATAGCCAAAAATAATCAGGGGACGATTTTGTGACTATTTCTTAGCAGTTGGGAGTTTTTGTTGGAGTATTTGGGATTTTTCGCTCCAAATCCGCCTGTAGGGGGACAGGCCCGACCTAAGCCTATTACGGTCTCTGGAGGGAGCTTAAGGGGCCTTGTTGGACACCTCTCTTGGGCGCTTCCTGCGGCCTCTTGGGCGCCTTGTGGTGGGTACCACCTCTCTTGGGTACCTCTCGTGGGCGCCCCTTGCGGCCGCTTGGGAGCCTTGCTGTCTGTGACCTCTGGGGGGCATGGTTAGGGTATCGGGCCCGTCTCGCCTGGAGGATGAGGAGAAAGACGGAGGAGGAGGAGGAGGAGGAGGAGGAGGAGGACGGAGGTGGAGGCGGAGGAGGAGGAGGAGGAGGAGGAGGAGGAGGAGGAGGAGGAGGACGGAGGAGGAGGACGGAGGTGGAGGCGGAGGAGGAGGAGGAGGAGGAGGAGGAGGAGGAGGAGGAGGAGGAGGAAGGGGGGGAGGTCCGTGATTGGCGCGCGTTTATTTTTTTGTGGGGGGTCGGGGTTGTCTTTGAGGCCTCCTGGGCTCCTCTTGTAGGCCTCGGGCGTCTTCCTGGGGTGGTCGTCGGGGCCCCCTGGACAGTCGTGGAGGCTCTTACGATCGAGCAGGCCGGACTGCCATGATCGCGCGAAGCCTTGAGGCACTCCAGCAAAAATGGATTCTCGAGGCGGCCGCCACCGCCCCCGGGAGGGCCGAAAGGGGCCTCACCCTCGGGCCACCTGAGGACATGACGGAAGCGCCGGCTCCGAGCCGCGCTCCAGGAGAGCCAGGAAGGGAAGCCTGAGGAGAGCCAGGAAGCCTCCAGGAGGAGGCCAAGGTACCATGCCTCCTCCTTGCCTCCCCCTCCTCCTCCTCCTCCACCTCCTCCTCCTCGTCATCTTGCCAAGGTCCGATGCCCGCCACCTTGCCTCATGCCCAGAGGAGGTCAAGGGTACCCCGTACCACTACCCGTCCCCCGTTTTCCCCGGTTCGGGGCCTCCTCGGAGGCCCACGTCGCCACCGCTGGGTTCGCCCGGAAGTCCTGGTCAGGACGCGCCCTGGGAGAGGTCTGGGAAGAAGCGGAATCGGTTCTTTGTGGTAACCATTCATACTTCCTTCTCGTCCCCCTCCTCCGGATCCCCCTTCCTCACCCTCGCTCGACGTCCCCCCTACTCGTGCTCCTCAATTATCCTCCCTCTCATGACGAGAGGCTTCGAGAAGCCCTGTCCCCGAGGTCCTCTCAGCAGTGGTGAAGTGGCTAGCCTTGAGCTGCCTGAGAGAGTGCCGACACCCCAGGAGGGGAAGTCAGACCAATTGGCTTTCGCTGAACACATCGCTCTCGGAATGCTCATCCGAGATGCGCAGATGTCGCTGGGGGCCAGAACCAGCCAGTAACTCAATCGGACTCACAAAGACACCCTCCAGTCAGATGCGATTGTCCTCCTCATCCTCGTCCTTAGCCTCCTCTTTCATCACTTCTCCTCCCTCCTGCCATGTCGTTGACGCCCCCTGTCCGAGGACATGACCATGGACGTGGTCGCCGCCTTCCAGGACGGGCGCCAGGAGGAGGCTTTGGCCGGTGCCGTGGCCTTCTCGGCCGCGGCGAAGGAGGAGCTCGGCGAGTCGTATACACTCCTTGCTCCTTGACAGACCTCTGGCGACTCGAAGCAGCAGATGTTGTTCCTCTGCGGTGCTGGCCATGGAGATTGTCTGTATCCTCTGGCGCGCAACGGTCGTCGCCTGGGCCCCGTCCCGAGTATTTCTGTAACGATTGTACGCAGGGGTGGGGGGGGGACCTGGAGCCCCCCACCCATGCTGGTGTCCGCGCGCAGAATCGCAGCGCAGACCCGCCTCGGAAAGTGCCCCACCCCGCCCGAAAGTTACCTTTTGCCCCCACCCCCCGAGTAACGATTGTTAGCGGTGTTTCCGGATGTACTGGACAAAAACAATCACCCACCATGTGGGTCACTTCCCATTACCGCCCGCCCGAATCATGGTCCCACGCGGTGAGCGGGATGCGAGCAACAGCACGTCGCAGGTCCGTAAGGTGTTCGCCACGTTTGGCTCCCCTGGGTTGACGGCCCAACGGCCTTGCACGGGTCGTCGGATGCCGAACAACTTCTTCCGTCGGCGGCGAGTCAGGCGATCCGCACCAGCGTGGGGCTGAAGTCGAAGAGGACAAGACGCCAAAAACACAAGCTCTTGGCGCTCCGCGCGGATTTCCTGGATCCGCGCCGGGCCCCCCCCCCCGGCGGCGCCTCCGGCGCCGTCCCTGGCACGCTACTCGCGCCAGGGAGGAGATCCAGCGCGGATGCAAGAAATCCGCGCGGAGCGCCAAAAGTTCATGTGTACGGCGTTTGTTCTTCCTCTCTAACTGCGCTCCGTCGTGAGCTCGTTCGCGACTCGAGGGTGGCCGGATTGCGGGGCGCAGCTCGGGCCCCTGAAGCTCAGGAGGGGAAAAAACACACAGACACAATTAATCGGCGATTCCCAGAAAATATAGGAAAATATGGGAAATGGGGGGGGAAGACAAAAACCCAGAAAATATTGGAAAATATGGGGAATAGTTTTGTTTGTGTGTATTTATTTGTGTATCCCAGTTCCCCTTCAGAAGCGGCCGTGCGGGGCGGCTCGGCCCCCCCCCCGTGGCACGCTCTCGGCGGGGTGCGGCTGCCGGAAAAGAGGCGGCCCCGGGCGTGAAGGCCCCCTTTGGCGCGCTGCAGAGAGTGCGGGGGGCCTCGGAGGCTGCCGTACCCATCGGTCGTTGAAAAGTTTCCAATCTACTTCGAATTATGCAGAGAAGGACAAGGTACCCATACCTCTACCCTTCCCTCGCTTTCCCTTTTTTGGGCCTCAAAGGCCCTCGTTGTCACCGCTGGATTCGCCTCGAAATTCTGGTCAGAACGCACACCGGGAGAGGTCTGGGGGGTAGCGGTATTGGTAACTTTTCGCTTCCCCAATCTCCAGTGGAGTGCCAGCTTCCAGCTTATCTCCAAGCTTCGGTAGTTCTGGAGTGCCAGCTCCCTATCTGCTCGAAGCGCCTTCCTGCTTCCAGGATCGAGCGGCCCCCCTCTGCCCTCCTCTTCAGGGGGCGTGCGGACACCCCATCTGCTTTTTCCACCTACACCTTAGGCGATGCTTAAGAAAACCTAAGTTTTCGGCCAGAGTCTCGAGTATTCTTAATGTGTCAATGTAAATCCTAAGATTTGAATGGGCATCCTGAGTTTTTATTTAAATTCTGAGACTATCAATTTCTTAACCCATGATTTCTTAAGCATTTCGCAGGGTGTACTCCTTCCGACCGATGGGTGCCTTTTTTCGCGACGAGCGGAGGCCCTGGCACGCCAGCGCTCGAAGCACAGCACACAACAGACGAGATGGCACACGCACAAACGTGCGGGGCTCCGCGCGGATTCCTTGGATCTGCGCCAGGGCCCCCCCCGGCGCCGCCTCTGGCGTCGCCCCCTTGCTCAGGAGCGAAGGAAGGACGTACATGTACATGAATCCGCGCTGTTTTCGAGAGCACGCATTGCACAAATGTTCGTATAACGCGGACGGTCTCGCGAATTGAGGGGCCGTGTTCATGTACATAGTTGTGCGCGTACGTCCTTTGTGGGCTCCCTACCTTGCGCGCTCCGCGCGCCAGGCCAGCGCCGATCCGAGAAATCCTCGCGGAGCTCCAGCAGTCTATGCGCTCTCTTTCGGTCGTGTAGGGGTCAATCGCAGGCGATCTCTGGCCCCCCGACCCCGAGCTCCGCCCGACAAAAAGGGACCCCGCTCAGGAGATGGAGGGGAACTCGGGGATACACCGCCAAGGGGATATTCGGACGCATCCCCCAATTATCGAGGATGGGCCCCCCCCCCGACGAATGTCCCTGAGTTTTTGGGGGTCGCCATACCCCCTGCTGTTCAGCCCCTGCCGCCAGGAGCTCGGCGAGACGCACCCCACGTACATCAACGCGCTCGCCACCGTCGCGGCCCTGGTGAGCCAGATGGGCGCCCCCGAACAGGCCGCGGAGCTGCTGCAGGAGGCGGAGGACCTGCAGGAGGAGGTCGAGATGGAAGCCCTCGAGAGGCACCGGGAGGGCGCCCAACTTCGCAGAAGTCCAACGCATGGAAAACAATCACGAAGAAAAGTGGTCGTTTCCTTATTCATTGTTTTGCCGCTCGGCGCGGGCCGTCGCGCCTCCTCCTCCCCCCCCTTCCCCTGGAGCAGATCTTGTTTGTTGGTGGCGCCTGCTTCAAGCAGGTGGAGTCCCTCCCCCACGGGGACGCGCTGTTGCAAAGGGTCGCGCTCCGCAGAGGTCCAGAGCCAGGCCCCCTCCCCCCCTCTCCCCTCCGCCCAGTGTCGAAGCGCCGAACAAGAATCAGGAGGGAAAGAAACACACAGACACAATTAATCCTCGATTCCCAGAAAATATGGGGAAATATGGGAAGTGGGGGAGAAGACAAAAACCCAGAAAATATGGGAAAATATGGGGGATATTTTTATTTGTGTGTATTTATTTGTGTGTCCCAGTTCCCCTTCAAAGAAGACGGTCACAGAGGCGGCGTGACCGAGCTGCCGGAGCTCCGCGCAGTTCTCTCCTTTGGCGCTGGCCGTGAGGCCCCCCCCTCGGGGCGGCGCCTCTCCCTGGCCGGGGAGGGGAAGGGTCCAGCGCGGATCCAAAAGACCCTCCTAGTCCTCCTCCCCCTCCTCCTCCTCCCCCTCCTCCTCCTCCTCCCCCTCCTCCTCCTCCTCCTCCTCCTCCTCCTCCTCCTCCTCCTCCCTCCTCCTCCTCCCCTCCTCCTCCTCCTCCTCCTCCTCCTCCTCCTCCTCCTCCTCCTCCTCCTCCTCCTCCTCCTCCTCCGCGCGGACTTTCGAGAAATGTTCATGTTCACCCTGCTGCTTGTTCCTGTGTGTGCTGTCCCTGAGCCTGTGCGAGCGCCAGCTATCGAGACCTCTAACGTACTGAGAGAAGCAAGGCGGCGGTTCTTCTCCGTTCTCGCCTCCGGAGGCCCTTGCCAGGAGCGTCAACGCAGCCACTCATGATGAAAAGCCGGTCACCAGGAGAGGGTCGAGACTTCCGGGGATCCAGGATTGGGAAAACCAAGACACGACATTCCACACCGAGCCCCCCCCTCCTCCTCCTCCTCCTCCTCCTCCTCCTCCTCCTCCTCCTCCTCCTCCTCCCCCTCCTCCTCCCCCTCCTCCTCCTCATCATCATCATCATCATCATCATCATCATCATCATCATCATCATCATCATCATCATCATTATCATCCTCATCCTCATCCTCATCCTCATCCTCATCCTCATCCTCATCCTCATCCTCATCCTCATCCTCATCCTCATCCTCATCATCCTCCTCTTCCTTCTCCTCCTTCTCCTCCTCCTCGTCATCCTCCTCCTTCCTCCTCCTCCTCCTCCCCATCTGGCCTTCGGTTGTTTGGGGCTCCTCGTCGCCACGTCTGGCCGCTGAACGCGGCCCAGGGCGCGAGCCAGGATGGACCCCCGGCAACGTCCTCTGGGCGCGCCGGGGCGGGCTTTCGGCGGGCTCTTGTCGGGCGGGTGGGTATGGGGGGTGACCCAAACTTTTTTAGGGAAAAAGAAGCCCCATTGGGAGCCAGTTGTTGCCCAAAAGGGGCCCTATCAAGGGCCCCTGTAGGGCCCGTTTCTTCACTCCCGATTTGGGCCCCCCCATGATCACCCGCCCGACCTTGGCCGTGGAGGATGCGCCGACGCCGATCTTGGCCAGGCCCGTCCCCAGAGATCCGACGTCTCGATTTTGTTCCATGCGGGGCCCCCTGGCGGACGGCTTCTCATCCTGAGTCGTTCTGCTGACGGCCTCAGGGCCTGGCGAGGGCTTGTGGAGGCCCTGGGCACCCGCTGCAACGCGCGCGCCGCATCCCCCAGATCGCGGCTGCGCTGGAACGCAGCCAAGTCCCCGATCCTTCCCCCTCGGCCTCGTCTTCCTCCTCTTCCTCGTTCCCTCGTCGCCCTCCGAAAGCGCAAAACTGAAATTCCGTCGTAACGCGTTCGGCGGCGGAAAAGAAGTTCCCGATACTTCCTGAGCCGAAGCCTGACCTTCTTGCCTTCCGTTCGTTCCGCGAGAGTCCAGACGGCTCCGTCCGCTTCGGGCGCACCAGCACACCAGCACCCCCCCCTCGAACATACGCGTCCGCACCCGCGGCAGACATCCCTCCGCACCGATGTCTCCAGACGCTGGACTTTTTGGGATCGCACCCGTTGTGGGCCCGTGAAGAAGCACCCCTGCTTCTCAGAAGGCGCGGGCCCTTCTCTACAGAGGTAGGGCCGGCGCCTTCTGGGAAGCGGCCTCCTCCTAAGAAGCCTTCCCCTCTCCCCCCAACCCCTATAGTGCGCGCCGCCAAGTCCCGTGTTAGCGTTGTCTGTCCTTCCCAGGGTAACGCTCGTTGCTCGCGCCAACCGCCCCCTCTGGGTAACGCCAACGATCTTATTGGGGGGGGCTGGACCTTGATGTTATTGGAGGAGGAGGAGGAGGAGGAGGAGGAGGAGGAGGAGGAGGGGGAGGAGGAAGAGGAGGAAGAGGGGGACGGGGAGGGGGACGGGGAGTTCCCTGGCGGACGCCGCCCCCCCTCGAGGCAGCTCGCCGGCGAGATCAAGGCCGCAGCCGCGGCGCCTCCGCGCGGCGCCGCCGCCGCCGGTGGCGGGCCCGCCTCGGGGCGCGCGGCGCGCGGGCGGCGGAGGCGCGGCGCGGCGGGGGGGGTCGATCCTGCCTCCTTCGCCCTCCTGCCTCCTCCGCCCTCCTGCCTCCTTCGCCCCTCCTCCTTTTGCCCCCTCCTGGCTCCTCCCCCCCTTCCCTCCACCTCCTGCCCCTCCCTCCCCCCCTCCTGCCTCCTCCCCCCGTTCTGCCTCCTTGTCCCCTCCCCCTATCCTCCCCCCTCTCCCTGCCCCCCCCCCTCTGGCCGGCCTCTGCTGACAGGCTCAGTGGTTAGTCAGCGTGGAATTCTAACAAATATCCTGCCTCCTCCCCTCCCCCCCTCCTCCTCCTCCTCCTCCTCCTTCTCCTTCGCCTTCTCCTCCTCCTCCTCCTTCTCCTGCCTCATCCCCCGCCTCCCGCCTCCTCCTGCCCTGATCGGGTGTCCTCCCCTGTTGGGCGGCGAGCGAGGGGGGGAAGCGAGGTGGAGGGTGCCTTCTCAGAAGGCCGCGGGGGTTCCCAGAAGCCCCGCATTCTGAGAAGTGTTCAGTGTTTTCGGGTAAAGCTCAGAGAGCTCCTCAGAAGGCTGGAGGACTTTTGAGCCCTCTGAGAAGGCCCGCCCCCTCTCGCTTCCCCGCTGGGCTGGCGATCCGGGCGCTGCAGACTCGTTCACGACGATCGTTTTCGCATGCTTTCGGGCCTCGGGGCCGTCGCGTAATTCTACCGCCCCCGCTCGAAACATGGCGCAGGACATAATCCTAAGTCGGCCCTGTCCCCCTACAGGAGGGATATTAAAAAATAGTTTAAAAAAAAATAGTCTGGGGACAATGTCTTGACTATTTTTGACCATTTGTGGAGCACCTGCTGGCTATTCGAATTATTTTTTCGCCTGGAATTTCCCTGTAGGGAGACACGCCCGACTTGAAGATAGTGGTCTAACGCTCTGGTCGTGTTTTTGCTGCAGTGCCGATATTGCTGCTGGCGGCCTCGGGCCAACAGGGCCGGGCCTCCCCCCGTTGCTTCCTGTCTTCGCCGGGCCCTCCGCTGGCCCGCTCCCTCGGGGGGCCCCCCGGCAGTTCCGAGGCCCAGAAATGGAAGTGAAGCACGCAAAGCACCGGTTAAGATCGCACTTCCTATTTATTGGGGGTGGACCTTTCTGGGCCCCGGAAACGACAGTGCCGTTTTTTTACCGGCTCCGTTTTGCCGTTTTTTTGCCGGCTCCGACGCCGTTTTTGTACCGGCTCCGTCGCCGTTCCTTTACGGGTTCCCGTTCCGGCTCTAATCCTGGAGCCGTTTTTGTTGCCGTTTCTGGTCGCCGTTTTTGTTGCCGTTCTCATTTTCAAGGGACATTTTTTCGGAAACGGTGAAAATACGGCTCTGACGTTTCCGGGGCCCACTAAGGGGTGGACAGAACCCCCACCCTGACACGTCCATCAGTGAATTGTCCCTGTTCGGTTCTCGAGAGGGCGCCGCGGCCGTCGTTTTCCAGGCCTGCGCCCGCCAGGTCTGGGCCCGAGGTCCTTTTCATTGAGCCACGTTTTGCTAAAAGGGGTTTTGTCCATCGCCGAAGTTATCGCACTGTGATAGAACGCCGGCCTAAGTGTGATCGTTGCTTGGTGGTTGTCTGTCGTTCTGGTCCGGGCATCTAGCCCCCTTGAGGGGCAGCGGATCGGGCGGGTTGCGCGCTGGAAGGAAGCAACAAAAACACAGTTCTGAGCCAAACAAGTTGTTTTGGGGTCTGGGGTGGAAGGTTCGGATTAAGTCGGGCCCGTTTCTCTACTCAAGCGGTGGCGAAGCGTCCTGGCGTGCCTATAGCCCTACCAAACAATGTTCTAAGAACCTGTTCTGGTTCCCACGAAATGTTCTTAGAACATGAGTCTGTATTGTTTTAATATATCGGGTTTATGTTATAAGGACATGGTTTTTGTTATTACAACATGTTTGGGTTCTAAGAACAATTCCGTGGTAGGACCATAGGAATGCCGGGACGGTCGGTAAGTCGGGCTTGTCCCCCTTCAGGAGCAATGCTCAAAATTAGTCGAAAAGTGATCAGGGGACGATTTGTCTTGTATCTTTGATCATGTTTGAGCATTCGGGGTGTATTTGTTTCGTCCAGAATCCCCCTGTAGGGGGACATGCCCGACCTAAGGTTAGGGTGTCTGGCTTAGTGTGCTGGGGTCCGGGTGTTAGGCCTAGAGTGTTCGGGTGAGGGTGTTGGGGCCAGGCGGTTAGACCCTGAGGCTTCTCGTCGGTTCTGGGCCTCCAGGGGACCTCGACGGGCCCCTGCTGGGGCCGCCGATAGCACAAGTCTCTGGGCGGACAGCTGGCCCCAGAGGATTCGCAGTTTCGTCCTTCACGCCAAGGCTCGAGCCACATGGTGTTTTGGCGATGTTGTGGACCGTTGCCCTTTGGATCTCGTTTTGTCTCAGAGAGGCAGGCCGAAGAGAGACCGAACTCAAAGCGATCGCAGAAAGCACTGCTTAGGTCGAGCACTGCTTCATTTTCAGTGTGGGGCCCGCGCGGAAGTCTCGATCCATTCCCGGGGACCGGTTTCTCATCCTGAGTCGGTCGTTGAAGGGCCCAGGGCCAGCCGAGGGCCTCTAGAGGCCGAGAATGATAAATGACCTACGCCTTGATCTTTGCATGACGTTGTGCCTCTGGGCTCACCTCGGGTCCAAGGTCTAGGCCGCCTCCCAGATATGGTCGGAGTAGATGGGACCGAAGGATCGCGCCGCATCATTGAGGCATCGGCGATGAGTCGGCGATGCGGCACGATGTGGAGCCTGATTTCACGCCAACGTCGCCGATGCATCGTCAACGTCGCCAGCGCTTCGCCAATGCATCGGCGATGAATCGCTGATGCATCGACAATGCAGCGCCATCTTCTGATCCCGTCTTCGGGGGCGAGCCTGGGTGGGGAAGTGAGAAGGGGCGGGCCTTCTCAGAAGGCTCGGGCCTTCTGAGAAATTTCCGAAGACTTCACCGAAGACGCCGACAGGATCTCAAAAGCCTGGAGGGCTTCTGAATAGTCCCGCCGCCTTCCGAGAGGGCATTCTCTTTGTCACCCCCACCCTGGGCGAGCCGCCTACATTTCTTCGGCTGCAACTCCTGGGAGGTCAACTTCTGCCTCTGCCCTGGTCCGAAATCCGGGTTCATCCCGCCGAATCTTGCCAAATCCAGCTTCGTCTCGCTCCATCCCGCCTACTCCGGCCGAGTCTCGCGCAATCCGAGGCGCAGCAGCCCCCCCTCTCGGGGGCTCACTCCTCCGCCTTCTTCAGCCCCTCCGACGAAGGCCTCCCAGCAGTTGCCTCCCAACGTCTATCGGAAGCCGGGCAAGGGCTGCTAAATCCGTGGCTGCTAAAGTCGACCTCCGGGATGGTGTCTTCGTTCTTCCGGGAAGAAGCCCGTGGATTGTTCCGCGTGCCGCGCCTCTTTCCGGGAAGCTGTTTGTTCTTTTCCGGGAGGGCCGTTTCAGCAGCCACGGTTTTAGCAGCCCTCGCCCATCTTCCGAGTCTACTCCGACCCCGTGTAGGAGGCCTTTGAAAAGGATCAAGCAGTGGCGAAGGGTCCCGGCTCGCCTATAGCCCCACCAAACAATGTTCTAGGAACCTGTTTGAGGTAGAACATTTCTGGCTTGGACTGTCTTGTTCCCAACCCTCCTTGGTTTGGTATTCGTTTTGAATAGAGGGGTGTGGTCGCGGCCTCCTCCCGCCCCCCCCCTGTGGTCGCCGTGCCTGGGGGGGCTGCGATCTGCGAAACTGTCGCCACTTTCGAGGGCTGCTGGTGGGTCCTGCGGAGTGAGGCACCGCGCGGATCCGAGCAAGACCTCGCCGTGCCTGGGGGGCTGTGATCTGCGAAATTGTCGCCCTTTTCGAGGGTTGCTGGTGGGTCCTGCGGAGTGAGGCACCGCGCGGATCCGAGCAAGACCTCGCCGTGCCTGGGGGGCTGTGATCTGCGAAATTGTCGCCACTTTCGAGGGCTGCTGGTGGGTCCTGCGGAGTGAGGCACCGCGCGGATCTGAGCAAGACCTCGCCGTGCCTGGGGGGCTGCGATCTGCGAACCTGTCGCCACTTTCGAGGGCTGCTGGTGGGTCCTGCGGAGTGAGGCACCGCGCGGATCCCAGCACGACCTCGCCGTTCCTGGGGGGCTGCGATCTGCGAACCTGTCGCCACTTTCGAGGGCTGCTGGTGGGTCCTGCGGAGTGAGGCACCGCGCGGATCTGAGCAAGACCTCGCCGTGCCTGGGGGGGCTGTGATCTGCGAAATTGTCGCCACTTTCGAGGGCTGCTGGTGGGTCCTGCGGAGTGAGGCACCGCGCGGCTCTGAGCAAGACCTCGCCGTCGAGGGCTGCTTGGGGGGCCAGCATTGCGATCTGCGGAACTGTCTCCACTTTCGAAGGCTGCTGGCGGGTCCAGCTCAGTGAGGCACCGCGCGGATCTGAGCAGGACCTCGCCGTCATTGGGGGGCTGCGATCTGCGAAACTGTCGCCACTTTCGAGGGCTGCTGGTGGGTCCTGCAGAGTGAGGCACCCCGCAGATCTGAGCGGGACCTTGCCGTCCCTGAGGGGCTGCGATCTGCGAACCCGTTGCCATTTTCGAGGGCTACTGGTGGGACATTCGGAGTGAGGCACCGCGCGGCTCTGAGCGGGACCTCGCCGTGCCTGGGGGGGGCTGCGATCTGCGGAATTGCCTCCACTTTCGAGGGCTGCTGGTGGGTCCAGCGGAGTGAGGCACCGCGCAGATCTCAGCGCGGCCTCGCCGTCCTTGGGGGGCTGCGATCTGCGAAACTGTCGCCACTTTCGAAGGCTGGTGGCGGGTTCAGCGGAGCGAGGCACCAGGCAGATCTGAGCGAGACATCGCAATCCTTGGGGGGCTGCGAGCCTCACGAATGCCGCTCGCAGAAGTATATGCGTCCATGTCACGTCATCACCTCCGTATAACGTCTCCCAAGCTACTCATGCCCCGCATTGCGCAGGGGTTGGGTACGTCGCCAGGGTAATTTTAACACATCGGGTTGATGTTCTAAGAACATTGTTTTTGTTCTTAGGCCATTTTTGGGTTCTAAGAACATTTCGCGTGGTAGGACCAGTTATAGGAATGCCGGGACGGTCGGTCCCTGCTCAAAAGGAGCGACGTGGCGGACGGCGCGTTCCTGACCAGCCTGGGCGGGGACGGCGGGGGGTCCTCGGGCAGCTCCTCCGTGGGCGCCGGGGGCGGCACGCCCAGCGCGGGCAGCGACGGCGACGTCGAGGGCGGCCCGGGGCAGAGCAGCCTCGACGAGGAGGAGGAGCGAGGAGCAGAGCCTCGAGAGGCTGGCAGACGTCCAGCGATGGTCGGGCCGGACGGAAGCGGGGGATCTTGGGTCAACGGCACCGTAACGGGTACTTACTAACGGGTACTTTGAATTTTTGCCGAAAGTTGCCACTTTAGGGCCTTTTTCTTGCATTGCAGCTTCGCCCACATCGGGAAGGGTTGGGTTCGCTGGGTCACTGGCCAAAGTACCCGTTAGTGGAGTCCCCGTTTGAGGGGCGCTGAATGGGAAAGGGGGGGTCACGACATTTGCTGCATGCAGCTGGTTTCGGCCTCACCGAGGGGCCCATTCCTGGATACATAGCCGCCTCCGGCGCCCGGAGGCGCCGGGAAAATCAGCCACGTGAGCTGATTCTCAACCCCCCCCCCCTTTGCTATCCCCCCTTTCGCCCGACCCGAGACGGACCCCAAGACGTCCCTGGAGGGCCCAGGTATTGCCTCAGGGTGGGACCAGCATGGGCCAAGAGGCCTCCTGGGCAGCCTCTTCATACGTGGGCTGAGGTTGCGGGCTGGACCTTCTATGCTGTTGCTCGCGCATTGTATGGCGATCGCAGCGTTCTGCTGCCGTAAACTGTTTACATGTTTCCCAAGAGTTGCCCGGCCCCCCCAAGATAGCGACCGTCTCCAGAATTCACAAAAGAAAGGTCTAACATGTGCATAAGCAGTAAACGTGTGGATCGGCGTTGGACCCATTACCTTGGCGCACAGGGCGCGCCAGGGTCGGCGCCAGAGGCGCCGCCAGGGTGGCCCAGCGCCGATCCGAGAACTCCGCGCGGGGTTCTGAAAAGGCTATGCTTATGCCGCTTGCTGCTCGCCTGGAGGAGGAAGAGGCGGCTCGGGGCCTCGAGGCCCTGACGATCACGAAGCTGACGTGGACAGTGAACTCGCTGCTGAAGGACGGGCGGCCCGAGGAGGCGGCGAAGGCCCTCAGCGAGTCCGAGCGCTTCCTGCTCAGCGGCTCGGGCCGCGGTGCCGTCGGGGTCGTGGCGCGGGCGGCGCTGCACACGCTGTGGGCCGCCGTGCTCGACAGCATCGGGGAGAAGGACAAGGCGAGGCGGCTGTACAGCGAGGCTCGAGGAGCAAAAATGATTCACTGCGTGGAGCTCCCCATATGTGCATCTATTTGCGTAGACCTGTCCGCCGTGAGCGTCTAGGCGCAAAAGTTTTCGAATACAAATGGGCTTGATTCTTGGCGGTCTGGGAGGGGTTCTACCTGTAAATGAGTTGAGCGTGATTGAGTGTCAATAGTACGAGTGCGTCTCTGCGCATGAGCCTGGGGCCTCCTGAAACCTTCTGGGGCTTCCTGGGGCTCCATGGAGCCTCTTCAGCGAGGCTCGAGGAGCACATGAAATTGCACGAGTACAAACTGTCGGCGCTCCGCGCGGCCCTTCGAAAGTTCAAGGCTGTGCTCTTTGTTCTTCCGCCACAGGCGCTCAACTGCCTCGAAGACGACATCGGGCTCGGCATCTGCTCCGGCTCCAGCTCCGGCGGAGCGTCCCCATCGGACGAGGACTCCGATGGCCCCAGCTGCGACGAGGTCGACAGCCTGAGCGACGCCGGTGCGCCCGAGCAGCCGGCAGAGGCGCCAACGCCGCCGGCCTCGCCTCCAGCGGCCGATGCTGGTGGCGCCGAGCAGCGGCCACCCTCGCCTGCGGACACGACCGCCGCACCTGCCGCAGCCTCCCGCATCCCTGCGGAGACCGACCCTGGGACGAGGTGCTCTCGTCGGTCGTCGGTGGTCGTCGTCGTCGGCGTCATCGACGTCGGCCGTCGGCCTTCGTCGTCGTCGTGGTCGTCGTCGGCGTCGTCGTCATCGGCCGTCGTCGTCAACGTGGTCGCCGTCGCCGTCGCCGTCGTCGTTGTCGGCCGTCGTCGGCCGTCGTTGTCGGTGGGCCGTGGACCGTCGTCGTCATCGTCTTCGTCGGCTGTCGTCCGTCGTCGGCCGTCTTCGTCGTCGTCGCAGTCGTTGTCGTCGTCGTCGTCGTCGGCCGTCGGCCGTGGGCCGTCGCCTTCGGTCGTCGTCGTCGGCCGTCGTCGTCGTCGTCGTCGTCGGCGGCCTTCGTCGTCGTCGACGTCGTCGTCGTAGTCGGCTGTCGGACGTGGTCATCGTCAATTTCGGCGTTGTCGTCGTCGGCCGTCGTCGTCGTAGTCGTCGTCGCCGTCGCGGTCGTCGTCAGCCGTCAGCCGTCAGCCGTCGTCGTCATCGTCGTCGTCGGCCGCCGTCATCGCCGTCGTCGTCGTCGTCGTCGTCCGTCGTCGCCGCCGTCGTCGTCGGCCGTCCGTCGGCCGTCGTCCGTCCGTTGGCCGTGCGCCGTCGTCGTCGTCGCCGTCGCCGCCGCCGCCGTCGCCGTCGTCGTCGGCCGTCCTCGTCCACCGCCGCCGTCGTCCGTTGGCCGCCGTCCGCTGCCCGTGTCGCAGGGCTGCCCCTGGAGCGGCCGCGGCCGGCGGCGCCGGCCTCCCGGGCGGCCCCGCAGCGGGCGCCCCCGGCGGCCCCGCGGGGGAGGCGCCCGCGGCCGGCCTGCGGCCGAGGGCGCCGGAGGCCGCGCCCTCGCGGCCCGGGCGGCGGCCGTGCCCGCCTGCCGCGGCGCCGCAGGCGAAGGCCGAGGCGGCGGGCCCTGCGCAGCAGAGGTCCCCGCTTGAGTTGTCCTCCTCCCTCCCTCCTCCCTCCCTCCTCTCTTCTCCCTCCTCCCTCTTCCTCCTCCCTCCTCCCTCCTCCTCCCTCCTCCCTCCGTCCCTCCTCCCTCCTCCTCCTCCTCCTCCTCCTCCTCCTCCTCCCCTCCTCCTCCTCCGTCTCTCCCTCCTCCCTCCTCCCTCCTCCCTCCTCCCTCCTTCAAGCAATGGCGAAGCGTCCTGGCTCGCCTAGCCCTACCAAACAATGTTCTAAGAACCTGTTCTGGTTTCCACGAAATGTTCTTAGAACATTTCTGGCTGGGGCTGTCTCGGGCTTATGTTATAAGAGCATTGCTTTTGGTATTCGGACATTTTGTGTTCTAAGAACATTTCGTGGTAGGACTATAGGAAAGCCGGGACTGTCGGTCTCTGGTCAATTCCTCCTTCTCCTCCTTCTCTTCTTGCTCCTCCTCCTGCTCCTCCTCCAGCCCCCCAACTCTCAGGCGATCGCAAGCATGGATCAAGGGGGCTTGGATTCGCGACGGGTCCCGTTTACATAGGACATCGCCGATTTCCGCTGCCGACCGGGGCGGCACGGGCCGCATTTTGGGGAGGGCCCCTCCCCCGCTTGAGTTGCTCGGCGGCGAGCGAGAGGGGGTGAGTGAGAAGGAGAAGGCCTTCTCAGAAGGCTCGGGGGTCCTCGGGCCTTCTGAGAAGTTTGCTGAGCCTTCCCCGAGGACAGGCAATCACTTCTCAGAGAAGGGTTTCTGAGAAGTCTCGCCGCCTTCTGAGAAGGGTTTCTCCTCCTCATTTCCTCCCCTCGCTCGCCGCCGAGTTGTGCATTCGCCGTGTTCTTCCCCCAACTCTGGGCCTCCTAGATGGGGTCGGAGGATATGGGATCGGAGGATCGCGCCGCATTTGCCGTTGCATCGGCGAAGCATCAGCGATGCGGCTCGATGTGCGGCCCAATTTTCTCCACGCCGGCGTCGCCGATGGATCTCCAGTGCGGACACGGTTGTGTGCTCGCCCCACGCGAAATCCCCCGAGGCATGGTTTGACTGTCCCCGGGCCGTGGCGAGGGCCCCCGGAGTCTGAACATGGCGACACGTATCTGTATCGCCTCTGCTCTGTAGGTCTCGGCATTCCAGCACATACGATCCCGTGGCAACCGCCGTGGAAATTCCAGCTGCGGGGCATTCGCGCCGACCCCACCGATGCTGCTCCACCGAGGCGCGGAACAGGGGAGCCTTTGACCGCTGTGCGCGCCTGGCACCCTGGACACCGTTCGCTCGAGGAGGGGGCCCGTGCTTGCTCCCGAGACGTCGGCCGCCGAGAGGTCCGCGGTCGCGCGCTGCGGTGGAGGCTTCGCGGCAGGGAGCCCGCCGGCGCCGTCGCGGCCGAAGCCGAAGCCGAAGCCCGGCGCGGCCCGCCCGGGCGGGGCCGCGGCGCGGCCCGCGGGCGCCCGGCCGGCAGCCGACAGGTCGAGGAGCGGGCAACGACACGGGCATGGGAGTTTTCGGAGGGCCGCGCGGAGCTTCACCACCCACCAAACCACCCCAACCCAACCCGAAGGCTCAGATTTACCTTCGATTTCCAGTGGGGGGGGGGTCGGGAAACATGGAAAAAGCACATGCGGAACCCTTACCCCCCCCCACCCCGAAATTCAGGTCTTCGGCTCGGGTTGGGGTGGTCCCGTGGCGGCGCCGGGCTGCCCGGGCGGCGGCCGCGGCGCCGCCCAGGGCGCACGCCGCGCGCTTCAGGGAGGGAAGGGGCCAGGGCTCAGCTCGATGCCTCCGAGTCGACGCGATGCAGTTTCGGCCGCTTCCGATGCGATTCGGCTTCGGATTCCGGGTTGGGTGCCGAGTCCTCAATGGAGGCTTACCAGCCTGCCGATTTCGGTCGATTCGGCTTCTCCCGACGTGGCCTCAGGTTTCCGCCGCTCCGCTTCTTTTCGATCGCCTATCCGACTTGCCGATCCATTCTGGGCCGAGCCAGGAGCTCCGCGCGGACCTTCGAAAGTTCCCATGTTTTTTGGAGTTGGCCGCTCCTCGAGCAGCGGTGACATCTCCGTCTCGAAGGGGGGCCAGCCGTCGAGGCGACGGCAGCCCGCACGGCGGCGCCGGGTGCCCATCTTCTCCAGACCACGCCGGGCAACGAAGCAGATGCGGCGGCGGTCTTTTTGTTGTGTCTGTGGCGTCTCTGTGGAGGCCAGGTCCGGGGCCATTGCCGTTGAAAAGCTCTATCGGCCTCTCGGATGGGGTCCGAGCGTCGGCGGTGTGGCTCGGTGCGGAGCCGATCTCCTCCACGCCAGCGGCGCCGATGCACCGCCGACGTCGGCGCGTCGCGAGCGCATCGCCGACGTATCGCCGATGCATCGGGGATGCGCCGCGATCCTCCGACCCCATCTGTCAGAGCCCCGAAGCATCAGGGGTAACTCGGGTCAGGGCTCACTCGGGTTGGTTTTTCGGGATTCCGAACCCGACTTACCCCGGACCCGACTTACCCCGGATAGTTCGGGCGTCCAAATCTGCTCCGTCCCCATCCAGGAGGCCTCCAAAAACGGCTCGAGGTGAGGCGCCGGTCCCGGGGAATGGGTCGCGGCCTCCAGTGGCCAAATCACCGTGGCGTCGGGGGCCTGGTGGGCATCTTGGAGCCCTCTCGCCGCCACGGCTTTTTCGGATCCAACTCCTGGGAGGTCAAATTCTGTTTTCGCCCTGCTCCGACATCCGGCTTAATTCGGTGTAAATCGGCTTGATCCCGCTTACTCCGGCTGACTCCGGCTTATAATCCCGCTGAATCCGGACTGATCCTGCTCAATCCGAGGCTCTTTCCGGCGTAAGAGCTCCCAAATGGGGGCGAATCCTCTTTCGTATTTCCGACGAAAACCTCCCAGTAGTTTCGGGCCGGGCGAAAGGGGGGGATTGGGAAAGGGGGGGTTACGAAATCTGCTGCATGCAGCTGGTTTCGGCCCCACCGAGGGGCCCAGTCCTCGATACATGGTCGCCTCCCGTCGCCGGGAGGCGCCGGGAAAATCAGCTACGTGAGCTGATTCTCAAACCCCCCATACTATCCCCCCCTTTCGCCCGACCCGAGAAAACCTCCCAGTAGTTGCCTCCTAAGGCTTTCCCCCGGGGGCGGGGTAGCGAGGCCACCGCGCGGTGCTTGCTGGGGGGCTCGGGCCGCTCTCCCAGGACGTCTTCTGTCGGGCGGCCGGGGCCTCCGTGCCGAGGTCACCGCGATACCGGCCGTCACCTCCTCCCCCCTCCCCTCCTCCTCCTCCTCCTCCCCTCCTCCTCCTCCTCCTCCTCCCCCTCCTCCCCCTCTTCCTCCTCCTCCTCTCCTCCTCCTCCTCCTCCTCCTCCTCCTCCTCCTTCTCCACCTCCTCCTCCACCTCCTCCTCCTCCTCCTGATCCTCCCTCCTCCCCCTCCTCCTCCTCATCACTCCTCTTCCACGTCCTCCTTATCCTCCCTCATCCTCCTGCTGCTCCTGCTGCTCCTGCTGCTCCTGCTGCTGCTGCTGCTCCTCCTCCTCCTCCTCCTCCTCCTCCTCCTCCTCATCCTCATCCTCATCCTCATCCTCCCCCCCCTCCTCCTCCTCCCGCACGGTGTTGGTCGGCCACGCTCAGAGGGGGGGGGGGTAGGGTTAAGTCGGGCCTGTACAGAGGGGGAGTATTCAAAAATAGTAAACAGATAGTCTGGGGACGATGTTTTGACCGTTTCTGAAATTTAGGAGTATTTTTAGGGTCTCTTTTATTTTTCGTCCAGAATCCGCCTTTAGGGGGACATGCCCGACCTAAGGGTAGGGGGAGGGGGCAAGGCTTCTCAGGAGCACGCCTGCTTCTTAGAAGACGCGGGCCTTGTCCGAAGATGTGAGGCCGGCGCCTTCTGAGAACCAGCCTCCCTCCAAGAAGCCTTCCCCCTTCCCCCCATCCCCCTGCACGCGCCGCCCAGTTGGGGCCCCCAGATGGGCCCGGCCCGCGGAGGCAGGGCACGATCTGGAGCCGATGCCGTGGCGGGGCTGCGCTGCTCACGGGGCGGGCCGCCGTCGTCCCGGCTGGTCCTCCTCCGGCCCTCGCGATCGCGGATGAGGACGCCGAGGGGGGCGCCGAGGCTGCCGACGGGGGCGCGGGCCGCCCCGCGGCCGAGGAGGGAGCGGCTCCGCGGGCGGGGGCGGGGGAGGCCGCGGCAGCAGCCTGCGGGGGCCCAACAGGGGCCCTGGAGCAGGTGGCTGCAGTGGCGCAGGCCATGACCTGCGCAGACCACTACATCGATGGGCCGATTTGTCCGCAGCCACGGCCATGGGCAGGACAGGGGAGAAGGGAGGATGGGGAGGTTCTCCTCCTCCTCCTCCTCCTCCTCCTCCTCCTCCTCCTCCTCCTCCTCCTTCTCTCTCTCTCTCTCTCTTCCTCCTCCTCTTCCTCCTCCTTCTCCTCTTCTTCCCCATCCTCCTACCTATGGTAGTGATGGTGGGAAATCGGCCTATCGTACATGGGCCTGCTGGACTTCGAGAGGGCGGCGGACAAGCTTGAGGAGCTTGAATAAGGAACATTGCATGATAAGCCTTCGGAGCTCCGTGCGGATTTCTTAGATCGGCGCCAGAGCTCCCTGGCGGCGCCTCTGGCGCCGCCCCTGGCGCGCTCCGCGCGCCAGGGAGGGGAGGGGGCCAACGCCGATCCAAGAAATCAACGCGGAGTTTCGAGAGTTTCTGCTCATGCTTCTCTCCCTCCAGGAGCAGCTCGTCGCGCTCAGCGACGAGGCCTGCCCCCACAGGGGTGGCGACCTCCACCTGGACGTGCTCCTGAAGTACGGCAAGGTCGGAAACTGGAACATGTACATTCACCAGTGGCGGGCTGTTTCTCAAGCCCAGGACTTCTGAGGGTCGGAGACGACGTCAGGGTGGTGTGGTGTATATTTGTTGTTCCGTTTCCCGGGGGAACAACGAAAGATGTATACACCAGGGTCCCGTAAGCACCAGGACCCGTTTTCTTGTGCAAGTGTCTGTGCGGGGCCAGAACGAGACGTCGGTGTACAGAGTTCGGCTCCCGAAGGTGCTTTCGTGGGACGGAGATGCCGAGGGCGCCGTCGATGCCTTCACCGCCGCGGACGAGGTCCTCGCGGAGAGGCCCGCCGAGGAGCCTGGCGTTCAGCGCCGGCGTGCGGAGGTTTTCAGGGGCGACCGTAGGGGGGGATAGGCACACAGGGGATGCATCAACCCCCAATCGCCCATTGATCGCCGGTGTGGGCCCGATAGTCCCAGCTTGCCCCTCGGGGGCCGATTGCCGATCTGTCGACGACGTATCGCCCATTCGAGGTCGATGTTCCCCCCTCTATGCCTACCCCTTAGGCGATGCTTTAGAAAACTTAAGTTTTCGGCCAGAGTCTCGATTATTCTTAACGTTTCAATGTAAATCTGAAGATTTTAATAGAAATGTTGGTTTTTTATTCAAGTTCCGAGACTATGAAATTCTTAACCCATGATTTCTTAAGCATTTCGCAGGGTGTATGCCTATCCCCCCTATCGCTGCCCCTCAGGTGTGGATGGAGCTGGCCCAGGCCCTGCGCGCCGGGGGCGACCTGGACGGGGCCGAGCGGCAGCTCTCCGGGGCCGTGGAGCCCGGGGCCTCCTCTCCCTCCTCCTACTGCTCCTCTTGCTGCTGCTCCTCCTCCTTCTCCTCCTCCTCCTCCTCCTTCTCCTCCCCCTCCTCCTTCTCCTCCTCCCCCTCCCCCTCCTCCTCCTCCACCTCCATCTCCTCCTCCCTCTACAATTACTCAACATGAATACTACTCTCCCTCTTCCCCTGATGGCGGCCTGGGAGTAGTAGACCCCCCCCCCCGCGATTCCCGGGAGTTGGGTTTTCGCCTGCGTTTTTTTTCAAAATGCTGCTCTCGCTGAGGCGCCGGCCTCATTTCTGCTCCCGAATCGTTCCGAATCGTGCTCCCGCTGCAGCGTGGGCCTCATTTTCGGATCGGTGTTTTGCCTCCGTCGTTCAGGATGGCGTTCTCGCCCCAGCGCGGGCCTCTTTCTCGCGCGCCCATCCGCCCGCCACCACCGCGCCGCACCACGCCCCGCCCCGCCGCACGCACACCCACCGCCACTTCCACCCACCAACGCACGCACGCACGCACGCGCACCACCACCGCGCACCGCCACCACCACCGCACTACCCCACCCACCACCACCACGCTACACCGCGTCACACCACATCACACGCGCGCACACACAGACACACACGCACGCACGCACGCACGCACGCACGCACGCACGCACGCACGCACGCACGCACGCACGCACGCACGCACGCACGCACGCACGCACGCACACACACACACACACACACAACACACACACACACACACACACACACACGCACGCACGCACACACAGACACACACACACACACACACGCACACACAGACACACACACAACCACCACCGCCACCACCACCACCGCCATCACGCACGTACGCACCTGACCCACCACCAAACCACCAAGACGCCACACCACGGCACACCTCAGCACACGCGCACACACGCACACACACACACACACACATACACACCATCACAACAACCACCACCACGCACACACGCACGCACGCACGCACGCGCACCACCACCCACTACGCACACGCGCGCGGAGCCACAGGTCCGCCACGACACGCGTCCGCGGATAGAGAAAATCAGCGCCATGGTAAGGGATGGGAGGGAGGGGTAGGATGTCAGATGTTGACGCGAGCGCACCTAACCTGCCCCCTCCCCCTCCTCCTCCTCCTCCTCCTCCTCCTCCTCTCCTCCTCCCCACCTCCCTCATCCTCCTCCTCTCCTCTCTCCTCCTCCTCCTCCCTCTCCCCTTCCCCACTCCTCCTCCCTCCTCCTCCTCCCACTCCTCCTCCTCCTCGCCTCTTGCTTCCCCTCCTCCTCCTCCCCCTCCTCCTCCTCCTCCTCCTCCTCCTCCTCCTCCTCCTCCTCCTCCAAGGCCGTAGAGCCCCCGCCCTCTGGAGAGGGGCCAGAGCAGGTGTGGTCCGAGGCTTGCGCCGCATCGCCGGTGCATTGCGTAGAGAGCCCGAGTGTTGAAAAGTCGAGGCCGAGGTTTCTCGCTGTTTTTGGCCCCTGGGTGCTCTCGCCGGGGGCTCTGGGACCGTCGAAACGATTCGTAACGTAGCACCCCGCAGATGCGGATAAGAGTGAGGGGGCGGTGGGGACGTCGGCAGTTTGCGAGACTCTGGAGAAGCCCGCCGCAGGCGCCAGAGCTTCACAAATTATACAACGAACCCGCCGCAGGCGCCAATTTTCACCACCCACCAAACCACCCCAACCCAAACCGAAGGCCTCAATTTGCCCTCCATTTCCAGTTGGGGGGGGTCGGGTAAAATAGGAATTACCCTGTGACGTACCCAACCCATTTGTATCAATGGAAACGAGGAGTTGGCCGAAACTTGTAGGGACAATGAACTTGATGTGTAAGCTACTTGGGAGGCGTCACTGTGCTGGGCCCCGCAAGCAGGCCTCGAAAGTGGCGACAGTTTCACAGATCGCAGCCCCCCAGGGATGGCGAGGTCTAATTTGAATCTGCGTGTGGCGTCACTGTGCTGGGCCCCCCAGCAGGCCTCGAAAGTGGCGACAGTTTCACAGATCGCAGCCCCCCAGGGATGGCGAGGTCTAATTTGAATCTGCGTGTGGGTACCCACTGTGCTGGGCCCCTCAGCAGCCCTCGAAAGTGGCGACAGTTTCACAGATCGCATCCCCCCAGGGATGGCGAGGTCCAATCTGAGTCCGCGGTGAGTGCCCACCGTGCTGTGCCCTCAGCAGCCCTCGAAAGTGGCGACCGTTTCACAGATCGCAGCCTCCCAGGGCAGGAATGGCGAGGTCTAGTCTGAGTCTGCGGTGAGTACCCACTGTGCTGGGTCCCTCAGCAGCCCTCGAAAGTGGCGACAGTTTCACAGATCGCAGCCCCCCAGGGATGGCGAGGTCTAATTTGAGTCTGCGGTGAGTACCCACTGTGCTGGGCCCTCAACAGCCCTCGAAAGTGGCGACAGTTTCACAGATCGCAGCCCCCCAGGGATGGCGAGGTCTAATTTGAGTCTGCCGTGAGTACCCACTGTGCTGGGCCCCCCAGCAGGCCTCGAAAGTGGCGACAGTTTCACAGATCGCAGCCCCCCAGGGATGGCGAGGTCCCATTTGAGTCTGCCGTGGTACCCACTGTGCTGGGCCCCCCAGCAGGCCTCGAAAGTGGCGACAGTTTCACAGATCGCAGCCCCCCAGGGATGGCGAGGTCTAATTTGACTCTGCGTGAGCCCCACTGTGCTGGGCCCCCCAGCAGGCCTCGAAAGTGGCGACAGTTTCACAGATCGCAGCCCCCCAGGGATGGCGAGGTCCCATTTGAGTCTGCCGTGGTACCCACTGTGCTGGGCCCCCCAGCAGGCCTCGAAAGTGGCGACAGTTTCACAGATCGCAGCCCCCCAGGGATGGCGAGGTCCCATTTGAGTCTGCCGTGAGTACCCACTGTGCTGGGCCCCCCAGCAGGCCTCGAAAGTGGCGACAGTTTCACAGATCGCAGCCCCCCAGGGATGGCGAGGTCAATTTGAGTCTGCCGTGAGTACCCACTGTGCTGGGCCCCCCAACAGGCCTCGAAAGTGGCGACAGTTTCACAGATCGCAGCCCCCCAGGGATGGCGAGGTCCCATTTGAGTCTGCCGTGAGTACCCACTGCGCTGGGCTCCCCAGCAGGCCTCGAAAGTGGCGACAGTTTCACAGATCGCAGCCCCCCAGGGATGGCGATGTCCCATTTGAGTCTTCCGTGAGTATCCACTGTGGTGGGCCCCCCAGCAGGCCTCGAAAGTGGCGACAATTTCACAGATCGCAGCCCCCCAGCTGGCACGCAGCGACGAGCGAGGTAAAAGGCAAGGGGGGCGAGAGGGACGGGAGGGGGTGGGAAGGAGACGCGCGAGCAGTGCTCTATTCAAAACGAGAACCAACGCAGGAGGGCTATGAAAAAAAACACATATGGAACCCGTACTCCCCCAACCCGAAATTGGGGTCTTCGGGTTGGCTTGGGGGGAGGTCTGGTAGGTAGTCAAATTTGTTCGTTAAACAAATGTGGGTAGGTCGCGGGTGTGTCGCAAATTGGTCGCGGGTGGGCCGTTGTTGGGTCGCGGGTGTAGAGGGCAGAAAAATCCACCCGATAATAATCTTCCCGACAATTGCAGCCGTTTAGTAAACGCACACAAGGAATGAATCGAACAGGGCAGGGTTGTTTAGTCAACGCCCAAGGCTGTTTACTCAACAGGGCAGGGCTGTTTACTAAGCGTCAATTGTCGGGTCCGGGTGGTTGTTCCTCCTTTGAGGGTGGGTCGCGGGGTGGGTGGTGGGTGGGTCGCGGGATGGGTCGCGGGTGGGTCGCGGGATGGGTCGCGGTTGGGTCGCGGTGTGGGTCGCGGTGTGGGTCGCGCGGTGGGTCGCGGGTGGGTCGCGGGGTGGGTCGCGGGTGGGTCGCGGGTGGGTCGCGGGGTGGGTCACTTGGTGGGTCGCGGGTGGGTCGCGGGTGGGACGACGACGACGACGACGACGACGACGACGACAAACAACACATATTAACAACAACAGCAACAGCAATCATTTTAAGATTGTTCGCTCTCATCTGCTCGCATGTTATTCAATATGCATATCCCAAACCTTGGATACCCGCCCTCGTCGTCTTCAATCGTACCCCCTTTGGGGGATATATTCATTCCCTGCTACGTGTGGTTGGTGAAGCCCTTGAAAACGAAGGGTAACAGATAGCGGAGGAGAACGAGGACGAAGGGATCGGAGGATGGGAGGGGAGGGCAAGAAGGAGGGAGGACGATGATTTGTGCTGCGAGTGGCGATTCAGCTTGCGCCATGGCTTGCGCCAACCATTCCAACACAGGTTAACAATACGTTTCGCCATGGGTCGCGCCATAAACAGCGCCACGTACCACCCACTTGAAAGAACACATTGTGGATACCCTCACGGGGGGGCGTACAATTGCGAATTGGCGTCAGAAACACATCCCGTGGAACCGTGAAAAGAAGCGGGATGTTGGGAGAGTGGGGCGGAAGGATCGTGTGAACTGCAACCGTGTCGAGAGGAGCGCGGGGATGTGGAGTGGATTGGGGTGGAGTGGACAAGAGTAGGGTCTCAGGAGGAGGAGCGGCACGGAGTGGAGAAAAGGAGCCGGGAGGAGTGCGGAGGAGCGGGGGGCGCGCGGAAGAATTTGGAGGAGGGATTTGGAATAATTTGGGAGAAATGCGGAATGCGAGCGGGAAGGGGTGGAGATTGTTGGGGTTGGATGGGGTGGCTTGGGGAGAAGTGGGCGGAATGCGAAGAACTGAGGAATCGCAGAATCAGGCAGTGTCAGGCGGGAGCCGCGATTCGGTAGTAAGTTGCAAGGAGTTCCCAAGCGAAAGCGCGATTCTTCAATCAATTGTGAGGAAGTATCAAGCGGGCGCCGCGACCCGGTGGTAAATTGCCAGGAAGTTCCAAACGAGAGCGCGATTCTTCAATACATTGTGAGGAAATATCAGGCGGGAGCCGTTGTTGTTGTTGTTGTTGTTGTTGTTGTTGTTGTTGTTGTTGTTGTTGTAAACCGGGGGCCAACGACACAGTTTGACCTTCAATATTTTCCTCATAAACAACAGGGTGCGATCCCCGTGAAGGGCACTTAATCGAAACACCAATGTTCACCGGACGGGGGGACCAACACTAATTATTCTTCAGAAATGAGAGTTCAACAACAGCAACAGCAACAACAACAGCAGCAACAACAACAACCACAACACCAACACCAACACCAACAACACCAACAACGCAATAAGCAGAATTCCCACCTCGAAGTCCCGATTCAGCCACGCACCCACGGACAACGAATGACCGCTCGGACCCCCCCACACTGATAAAATATCGGCCCCGGGGAATGGGCCGGGACTTTGGATACCACGCGTTGCACAAAAATCAGACCTCGGATCTCTGGGTACGGGTGCAGAGACATCGGATCCCTGCGCCCGCCGAGAGGCCGACCCAGACTCCCGACGTGCGCCCCGGGAGGTCTCGACCCCGTCCTCGGCCGGCTTCTCCTCTCCCGAGTCGTTTTGTGGACGGGCCCGAGGGCCGGGCGAGGGCCCCCAGCGGCCGCACAAGTCACGGGTCACCGTCCGTCGGGATGTGCTCGTCGCTCGCCCTCCCACGGGGGGGGGAGGGGGGCCGAGGGCGCCTCGGCGCGGCGGCGCGGTCCCCCGACCCCGCCAGCGCTGGTGGGCCTGTTTTCCACCACCACCACCATAAGTTGGAGGGGGAGGGGTCCTCCTCCTCCTCCTCCTCCTCCTCCTCCTCGTCCTCCTCCTCCTCCTCCTCCTCCTCCTCCTCCTCCTCCTCCTCCTCCTCGTCCTCCTCCTCCTCCTCCTCCTCCTCGTCCTCCTCCTCCTCCTCCTCCCACTACTGGCTTATGGTGGTGGTGGTGGAAACCAGGCCCATCAAGCGCTGGCCCCGTCCGGGGGGGACTCCAGGACAGCCTGGAGGGGCTCGTGGCCGGCCTGCAGATCCCCGCGGAGCCCGCGTCGGGGCTCCTGGACGCCAAGGCCCGCCGGGGCGGCGTCTCGAAAGGTCCACTCGCGGGGGGCAGCCGGGGCCCCAGAGGCTGTCAGAGCCCCGAATCATCAGGGGTAACTCGGGGTTCGCTCTTCGGGATTCCGAACCCGAGTTTCTGCACGCACGGAATGGGTACTGAAAGAATGGGTACAATGCCCAACACCGGATCTTGTTAATTTTGAACAGGGCTCGCTGTCCACGCCGCCGCGGCCTGTGTCCATTCGAGAGAGGAGGCCGCCTGCCCAACAGCGGCCGCTGTTGGTTTGGGACAACCTTTGCTGTTGGGCATTGTACCCATTCTTTCGGTACCCATTTCGGGCGTCCAAAGAGTTGCCCCGGGCCCGAGTTACCCCGGATAATTCGGGCGTCCAGAGCCCCAAATCATCAGGGGCAATTCGGGTCAGGGCTAATTCGGGTTTGTTTTTTCGGGAATCCAAGCCCGCGTTACCCCGGACCCGAGATACCCCGGATAACTCGGGCGCCCAAGGTTGGGGCATCCCTGAGATCACGGCGACTCATTTTGTTCGAGCCAGATGCTTTTGCGCCAGGCGTCGTGTCGCGCGGCCCTCGCATCTCGAGCTGGCCCGAAGAGTATCGCAGGCAGATGCTGTCGAGGTCGTGATTGGTCACGATGGTCCGAGTTTGTCGAGACGTCGGACCTCAGAGCAGGGTATGGCCGGGTCTCGAGGCCTGGACCCCCTCGGGTGAGGTGTCATATCTGTGTTAATATATGTATGTATTAAATTACATCCTCATGCAGTCAACCCGCAGAGTATGGATGAGCGACTTTCCAAGATTACACTTGCATCCTTCTCCATTCGGCCCATCCTTGGCCGCATTCGCTGACCGCGCACTGCTCGCAAAGTGCTGACACGGCCATCCAAGGCCCTTGCATCCTTCTCGTGCGTCCTTATTCTACGGGTTGACTGTAGGGGCCCTCGCCGGGCCCCAGGACCTCAAGAGACGGCTCGAGATGAAAAGCCAGTCCCGAGGAATGGGCCGAGATCCCCGGGGGGCCCAAGTCATGACAAGCATCCCGACGTCGGGAGTCGGAGAAGCTAGGGCCTTTGCAAGCCAGGACTCGAGTAAGAAACCCAAAATAGCACACCCGTCGGTCGTTGAAAGTAGGTATTTTCTGGATCCCCTGATTCTGATTCACGTTAGGCGCCGTCCTACTTCGAGAGTCGAGCGGTGTTCCATATTCCCCCCTCTTCGGGGGGCGGGCGGAAGCCCACTCTACTTTCAGAGCCTTCCTACTTCATGCTTCTGCCCACTTCCTCCGACCGACGCGCAAGCAGAATTTCTGGGAGCTCCATGCGGATCTCTTGGATCGGCGCCGGGTTCTCCTCTGACGGCACACGGCACCGCCGGCACCGCCCCGAGTAGAGCACTCCGCGCGCCAGGGCGAGGGTCCTGGCGCAGGCCCAAGACATCCGCGCGGAGCTCCGATCGTTGATGTCGATGCCGCTTTTTCGATCCTCTGCCCTAGAAGACCCCCTCCGTCATGGAAAAAACGCGACAGGATGCCTTTCGCTATCTTCTGCCTCTGGGGGCCTTCACCGGGCCTCGGGACTGTCCAAGACGATTCGGGACGAGAAATTGGTCCCGGGGAACGGGTCGAGACCTCTGGGTGCCAACGTCATGAAGAAGTCATGACGTCGGGGATCGGGGGCCGGAGCCAGGGCACTGCAGGCCAGGACGCTGCCTCATCGAGCCGGAGACGGCAGAGTGGAGAATAGTTCGGCCACCGGCTGCGCGATTCTCGGGCGCGCCAACGTCGCGGCTTCTCGGAGTCCTTTCGGAGGCGTGGGGTTGGCCGCGTTGTTGCGCCTTCGCGGCCTGGAGCCGGCGAGTGGTGAGCGCAGAAAGCCAGAGTCGATTGCGCCGACATTCGCGCCGCGAAAAGCAGGGCTCGTTTCGATTCCTCCGATTCGATTCGATTTCGATGGTTTCCGATTCGATTCGCTTTCGAGTTCCGATCTGGATTCCGATTCTTTTTTGGAGGCGTGTTTGCCTGCCGATTTCCGCAGATTCGACTTCTCCCGACTCGGCTGCCGAGTTCCAATCCGATTCCCTTCGATCGCCGATCTGCCTTGTCGGTTTGATTCCAGGCTCTCTCCTGGTAAGGCCGCGCTGGCGGTCCGCGTGAGCCACCGCGCAGGTGGCTGTGTCAACTCGCGTAGGGCCCGCTACTTTTGAGGGCGCCCTCGAGGGTGCGAAGTTATTCGCGCTTCGCGGTTCGGCTCCGATTCCTCCGCATCCTCCTCTTCTCCCCTGAGGCGGCGCGAGACCGCGAAGTTGTTCGCACTTCGCGCTTCGCGCAGCGCGAAGCGCGAAGTTGGGAGGCCTTGCTTTCGTCCTTCGAGTTTTTCGCAACCGCGCTGGCGGCCCGCGTAAGCCACCGCGCAAGGTCAGTATGTCATCTCGCGTAAGACCCGTCTCTTGTCGTCCCTCTTCGTTGTTTTCGCAACCTGGACACCCGGAGGTCTCTATCCGTTCCCAGGGGCCGCTTTGCCATGCTCTCACGGTCCCCGGCCGAGGTGAGGGCCTCCAACGGCAGAACGTAGCAAAAGTACATCATCAGTTATTTCCCCACGACCCGAGGGGTCTGGGGAGAGGGAGGAAACCCTCGGCTGAGCAGCACCCCCCTTTTGGAAACCTCCATAAGTTGCGTTGCAACGTCGGGGGACCTCGCCTGTCCTGTAAATGTCTCTCCTTTTCGAGTGTTCGACGAATGTTTTGCTCGACGCGGACTCGACCTGGATTCGACGCGGGCTCGATGTGGATCCGTGGATTCGTCTCGGATTCGGCATTCATAGCGACGCGACGGGACGGACGTGGTCCCCCCAACACAGCGGAAGGCGCGCGCGGACGTATTGGACGCGGCGAGCCTGGTGGGCACGCTTCGGGAAGCCCAGGCGGCGCTTGCCCAGGTGTGCGTGCAGACGCGCGATTTCGCGCGGGCCGAGCAGTTGTACGTGATGGCCTTCGCCGAGGAGGAGGACCCAGACATGCACGCGTCGTGAACAAATCACGACGGGAGGTTTTTGGTCATGCTTGGACTCCAGGGGCCATTCCGCGGGCTTTGGGACCGTCACAGCACGACTTAGGATGAAATGCCAGCCCCAGGGGGAAGTGGGACCCACGCGTATATACACTGGTATCTGGGCCCTGTCCCATAGGGCATCGCAAGAAAGCCAAAAGACAATGTATAGTTAGAGTATAGATTTCTGGCGGGTTCTCCAGGCGACAGGTCTTGGAAACAATCTATCTAGTTGCTTGCGGCAAATCCCGCCACCGTACCAGCAAAGCATTCTTGGTGGCGATTGTTCGAGGGGGCACGGGAGACCATCACGTGTGACACATCGTGTATCCAGGCTTGGTAGAGTCGTGATTCGGAGTATGAGGATGATGGGGATCATGATGATAATGATGATGATGGTGGTGATAATGATGATGGTGATGTTGATGATGCTAATGATGCAGATCTTGATGGTGTTGATGATGTTGTTGATGGTGATGGTGATGGTGGTGGTGGTGATGATGATGATGATGATGATGATGGTGATTGTGTCGACGACGACGACGACGGTGACGATGACGATGGCCTTGATGATGATGATCATGATAATGATGCTGGTGGTGATGATGACGAGGTCGAGGACGAGGACGATGGTTATGATGATGATGATGATGCTGGTGATGACAGTGATGAAGGAGAGGATGATGATGGTGATGATGATGAATCTGACGATGTCGAAGAGAAGGCTGGTGAAGCTTAGGATGAGGATGAGGATTGCTATCCTGATGGGAAAGACGATGACGGTGATGATGATGAGGACCACGATGACGGTGATGATGGTGATGATGATGATGGTGGTGATGATGATGACGCCGACAAGGATGCATAGAAGGAGAATGAGTAGGAGGAGGAGGCGTATGATGATAATGATGATGATGATCTTGATGATGTTGATGATGATGACCATGATGTGGTGATGATGATGATGATGATGATGATGACAATGATGATGATGATGATGATGATGATGATGATGATGATGATGATGATGATGATGATGATGATGATGATGATGATGATGATGGCGATGATGGCGATGATGGTGAAACTCGTTTTTGTCGTCTTGGGGTTTTATTTGTCTCCTGTGAGGCAATCTTGGGTGTCCCTTAGGGCCCTCTTGGGACGTCTTCGAGCCCTCTTACGCCCTCTTACGCAGGCCTGGGGATCTCTTGGACCGTCTTGGGGTCCTCTTGGCCATATGGTGGGTGTCAGGGGGTCGTCTTGGTGCTGCCTTGGACCGTCAATTGGTCTGCCCTTGAGATTTACAAAAAGCATTCACCAGCTCCCTGCTGTCATCTGCGCCAAGGGCTGCACGTTGGTCGACTGGGACATTGAAATGCTCCTAGGATTTCAATGCTACGAATCCAATGGCCCTGGCGGGCTTTGACGGGGATTTGTCCAAACAGGAGCTGGCGGACACGCCGCCACTGTCAAGCGCCCGCGCTCAGAGAATGCCCATTTGCCCCCCCTCCCTCCCGAGTCCAACGATAACCGCAAACCCACCATCTACAAGGAGTCCGAAAGCGACCTTGAGGCACACCAGTCATGCTATACCGAATTGCTGGAAGGAAAGGAACTCTTTGAGGTCACTCCAACGGAGGAATCATAGTCGGTACCCGCTCAGATGGTCACTGAAAATTGCATATCGAGCGGCCGTCGCCAGCGGAGAGCAAGACCACCTGCCAACGCGGGGTAATCTGCAGCGCGACACCGAGGAATCATACCAAGTTCCCGGATGCTCAACTCGTCCTGACGACACCCACGGACTAGACACCGACGAGTACGGACAGTTTGTCGAACTATGTTTCCCGGTGGACATGTCCAACGTCGTGCCGACGGAAGAGCAGCAACGATTTCTGGACGACAGCTGCGTGTTTACGATGCGAGTGTATGTGGCAGCGGCCTCAAAGCGGGTTGTAGTAACTATAGAGGAGAACCTCGCAAAATTTTTGAGACCCAAGCGAAGCCGCCTAAGACATCAAATACAGCAGACACAGAACGCAAGATTTGGTTTGAGAGCAGATGCTGCAATCTGCAGGCGATTCAGAACGCGTCAAGCATCCTGACTTCGAGGTATGTGCGCACATGGAAATTCGCCAAGAACGAAAGCGGAAAGCCGGCACGTACCGATGGAGTCCACCTCGTCCTACGCGGGCTGATGCACCTCGAGGCCTTCGGCGTGGAGTTTTCTTGCGGGCGCCGCCTGGCGACGGATCGAGCGAGAGGCTACTCGCCTGCGCCGCCGCTCGCAAGAAGCATTGGGTCATTGCATCCATCAGGGGCTCCCACGAGGGCGCGAAGTTATTCGCGCTTCGCGGTCCTCGATCCTTCTCCCCCTCCTCCTCGTCCTCCTGTTCTCCCTTTGGGGGGCGGCGCGAGAGCGCGAAGTTATTCGCGCTTCGGGCTTCGCGGAGCGCGAAGCGCGAAGTTGGGAGCCCTTGATCCATGGACATCGGCAGAGCCCTTTATGAGGGGGGCTCGCGCGCCGCGAGTTGGCCGAGGCAACCGGCGAGAAACAAAAACGGGTGGTCTGTTTTGCCCCATATCCTAAGATAGGGGTTCTTGTTCTTACTCGGACGCCGCCGACTCCACAGAGAACACACCTACTCATACACAGACGTACTCATACTCAGACCTACTCATACTCATACCTTCTCATGGTCTGACTTACTCAACACAACATGCAGGCCTACTCATACTCAGACTTACTCATGCTCGGACCTCTTCATACCAAGACTTACTCATACCCAGACTCGTTCCCAGACCTGCTCATACACAGACTTACTCATAGTCAGACCTAAACATACTCAGACCTTCTCATAGTCTGAATTGCTCAACGCACGGACTGAGACCTACTCATACTCAGACCTAGTCATACTCAGACTCGCAAGGGGAGCCGCCAGGGGTGTTTTCACAGGCCCGTTCGCGGCCAGCTTGTGGGAATGTCTCAGGCGGTTTGCTCGTTTTCGTGCCCAACACCTTTTGCTTTCAGAGCAGATTGTGAGGATGTCTCAGGCGGGGCGCTGGTTTCAGCCCCCCCCAAAGGGAGCCGCCAGGGGCGTTTTCACAGGCCCGTTCGCGGCCAGTTTGTGGGGATGTCTCAGGCGGCTTGCTCGTTCTCATGCCCAACATCCTTTGCTTTCAGAGCAGCGATTGACGATGTCTCAGGCGGGGCCCTGGTTTCAGCACCCCCAAGGGGAGCCGCCAGGGGTGTTTTCACGGGCCCGTTCGCGGCCAGTTTGTGGGAATGTCTCAGGCGGTTTGCTCGTTTTCGTGCCCAACACCTTTTGCTTTCAGAGCAGATTGTGAGGATGTCTCAGGCGGGGCGCTGGTTTCAGCCCCCCCCAAAGGGAGCCGCCAGGGGCGTTTTCACAGGCCCGTTCGCGGCCAGTTTGTGGGGATGTCTCAGGCGGCTTGCTCGTTCTCATGCCCAACATCCTTTGCTTTCAGAGCAGCGATTGACGATGTCTCAGGCGGGGCCCTGGTTTCAGCACCCCTAAGGGGAGCCGCCAGGGGTGTTTTCACGGGCCCGTTCGCGGCCAGCTTGTGGGGATGTTTCAGGCGGTCTGCTCGTGTTTATGCCCAGCAGCCTTCGCTTTCAGAACAGATTGTGACGATGTCTCGGGCGGGGCGCTGGTTTCAGCACCCTTAAGGGGAGCCGCCAGCTGCTCATATTCAATCAGATTCAAAGGTCACCTTGATCCATACTCACTCACTCGCATTCGGATTCATTCGTCTTCGTCGGCCCGGTCGCCAATGTGGACGCGTTCTTATAGTCAAGCGCTCATGAACCGACGCTCACTATGGCATGACATAAAACATGAGATGCGCATACGGGGTGCTCCACGCAGTGAGTACTTCTGTTATTCCTCAACTTTCAGCTACCAGCCCGAGGTCACTCCCATGCCTCGCGTCACATGACGAACCGAAGAACTGCTTACATTGCCTCAAACCAGGCACGGGGACCAAAGACGCCCCGAGGTTTTTCTCGCCAAAGGTCTGCAAGACCACAAGGGGATTCGGGCTACGACCCATATCCTGCAATGAGCAGTTCGAGGTTCGCCAGAACCTTCTGGCGGCCAATCATTTCGATGACATCAGGATTGCCGGCGATGATGACATGGCTAGTAAGTGCGTCAAGCGGGTGGAGAATTTTTTCGGCTGGTACAAGTTTGCGCAACATACCAAGACAACACTGCGCCGTGAGATGGCTGTTCGAAGATGACATCGTCACCTTCGACTTGGGCGAATACGTCAAAACATACCCGTCCTATACAGCATCTGGAATTCACAGGTACTGGAGTAAAATGAAGTGCATACTTCGCTGGCATGTTTATCCGCCTTCGCCGTGACTTTGTTTACGCCTTCGTGGTCCGAGTTTGGTTGATGTTGTGCGTCGTATTTCTACAGCGCGCCCAAGACCCGACCGACATGCAGTTGCGGCGACAGTGCGCCAACAGGAACTTGCAGACTGTCCCGAAGTCAGTTGCAGATACGCACATGTTGGGGCACATTTGAACAAATTATACTGACTCCAAGCTGTCACCCAAACAGGATAACTGCCCCTGCACAGCGACTCCAGCTAGAGCGACGCCTCAGCGGCAGCGCCGACGACGGGGTAGACGGGTCCGGCGTCAGAGGCGCCGACCTCCCCAGGCGTGGGCTCGCGCTGTGTGGAGAGCCTGCCGTTCATGTGGTAACGCGTCGCAATGTTCGCTGGCCTGGAGCAGATCCCTATCCGCATGCTGGGCATCGCCCCATCACGATGCCAATCTTAGGGATTCCCTCAGTGTTTGCTGACGCATCCGTAAGATTGCCATCGCCTTTCGGCGTGTCAATGTTAGGGGTAGGGGTAAGTTCGAGGCTGGTGAAATGAGGTAAGCCTGTCGTTCATTTGCAGTGTGGAAAGCATGTTGCAAGTCCCTCCGACATCAGGCACGCTCCAGCTATTCGACGGAAGATCGATACCACACCAGCGCGAAACTTCAAGCGGGACCACTCACACCAACACAGCTCAACCAGGATATTTGACATCGGTGTTATGCGCACCCAGGTCGCACTGACCAGAGACTCAGAGTCCGTCTTGTTCAAATCTTGACCGAGCAAAGACCAAGAGAAACAAACATAATGTACACAAAGTTGTCATATGTGTGTTGGATTCGATAAGTGATGGACAGGAGCATCGCGCATAGTTTGCTTACGTGTGCCACGCGTGACACGACATCTGGCAGATATTCCAAAGGTAGTCTTGGTTATCATTTTCCTGTCATAGATCTCAGGTGTTGTGTCCGTCAAGCACGATCTGCAGAAATTCGCAGTGCACCCAGCTTATCATGCCTTAACTTTTTGGCTGGGATATACGAGGGCCCGCGGTTGAGGCACCCTTGTAGAAACCATGGCCGCTCGTTTTCCCACGCCTGATTACGGGCCCGTTTTTTGTTTTAGGACCCGTTCGGGGTCTTCGATCCCCGAACGCCCGATTTTTGCGAGCGGGCTCGCCATTTCAAATTTTCACCCGAACGGACTCGCAACCAAGGACATCGGTCTAACGATTTGCCCAGTTTGGGGTTGTCCGCTGCGCGGCCCCTGCTGGCGCGTTGTCAATGTGGGTGATGCTGCGAGCGGATTTGCCACGCGTCTCCTCCCCATCCGACTTCGAATGGTGGGCAACGCCAGAAAACCGAGCGACCCGCCGCCGTTGTGGTTTATACTGGCGCGCAGCCAATATATGCTCAGACAGCTCGCTGTCTACTGTCGCCTGGAACTAACGCATATTGTAATTTGATCACGCAGCCGCCCGCGTCTTCTGACCCATGCTGCTCGCCATTCCTTACGTGCGCTACATCACGGGTGGAATATGAGCACTGCCTGGAATTATAGATTCACACTGGCGCGCCATTCCATTTACGGCTTGAGCTGCCATGCGAAGAGTGAGACATTCTTGAGCACTCGCGCGCGAAATTGGTTTCAGGTATTTGATGCCACGCGGGAAGTGCACCATCCTCGAGCGGGCACGCGTGTAATGGGGGTTCAGGCAGTACCCGCAATGCTGGAAGCGCACCGTTCACGAGCGGGCACGAGGGAAGTGACTTCGGAAAAGGAGGGGTGGTGCACACAGGGCTCTTGTGTTGGAGGGAGAGAGCGGCACCTGGCTAGAATTTGAAAATCGCTACCAGACAGACTTTGCCATTCTTCCACGCCTCCACATGCCAGGGGGCACGCTGGCATATTCATTGTACTTGGGCCGCCATGTGACATTGAGTGGTGGACACGCGTAACATAGTGTAGTGGACACTTGAGCAGCAACGAAACGGTGCCGTTTTCGCCGACATTGGCGCGTTAGTTGTCCGCCCCGCTTAAGGTCGCGCGTAAGCGTTTTCGCTTCCAGCGTAACGTGCCGCCAGAGCGGCCGGCGTACGCCACGCGTAATGTCGCTATGTCATTTCGCGTAGAGCCCTTTTCTGATCTTCGCTCACTTTTATTGGCCCCGAGAGTCGGTTGGGATTTAGGGGGCCCGCATGGAACAGATCAGGTCATCGGATCGCCAGGCTCGACATCTAAGCCGCGCGGACCGGGCCATTGACCCAATCGTGTCCGCTCCGGCGTGGTGGATGCATCTGCGGTGCGGCGAGATTCTCCGGCCCCGTCCATGCTGGCCCAGGATGTGGCGAGGTCTGCCTACCCCGTGAGGCCGATTGCAATTAGGAGTGGCCCCAGGCTAGAGTGACCTCTGGTGCGCGGAATCGGGGACGCCCGTGGCGGCCCAACGCAATCGGAGGCCGGCACCACAGGTCACTCTTAGGAAGGGCCTCTCCTACATGAAGTCGACGAGGGAAATGGGGGACAAGATGGGGAAGGCGAACTTTCGCCCCAGGCAGGCACTTGCGGGAGGAGGATGGCGAGGGCGCAGAGGAAGAGGAGGAGGAGGAGGAGCAGGAAAAGGAGGACGAGGAGAGGGGTCAGGAGGATGGGGCAGATTTTTGCACCCCAGCCGGGAAGAGGGAGGGGAAGGATGACAGGAAGAACGACGGGGAGTACAGGGGGAATTCTACGCCTTGTCGGGCTATTTTGTTTTTGTCTCATGTTTTCTTTTTGCGCACACGCAGGTGTCGTTTTCTGCCCGTGGCATCCTCTAAATCGGTGTCATTTGTGTACCGCACAAAACCACAGTTCTTTTAGTGATGTCCGTTCGGCGCAGACAGCGGGGGAGGAGCCACCGAAGTCCCGCCCAGGCGCTGGGGAAACGCCACACTCGAGTTCGACGGTCCCGGCGGGAATATTGACGGCCCCTCTCCGTGCGATGTCAGCAGCGAGAGCCCGCGTCAGATTTTGGACTACGCCACGCCATTTTTCGAATGGTCCTGTTAGACCAAACCACCCCAACCCAACCCGAAGGCTCAGATTTACCCTCGATTTCCAGTGGGGGGGGGTCGGGAAACACTGAAAAAACACGTGTGGAACCCTTACCCCCCCCCAACCCGAAATTCGGGTCTTCGGGTTGGGTTGGGGTGGTCTGGCAGGTAGTCACGTTAGGCCGATGCGGCCCCCCAGACCCGAGCCTCGCGCCTCCCCAGCCACGTGCGAGGACTGGGAGCAGCCGGAGCCGCAGCGGGTGGGAGGCCCGCCCCGCCCCGCCGGCGCGGCCTGCCAGCACTGACGCGCCCTCTGCCCGGCCTAGGAGGACCCACGGCCTGGCCAGGACTGTTCCCCGCCAGATCGGCAAGATCGACATGCGTACAGGATGAAATGGGACGAAGTCGGGGCTGGACAGAACCCCCAACAGTGACACGTCGATTAGTGAATTGTCCGTTTTCGGTTCTCGAGAGGGCTCCGTGGCCGTTATTTTCCAGGCTTGCGCCTGCCAGGTTTGGGCCTCAGGTCGTTTTCACTAAACCACGTTTTACTAAAGGGGGGTCTGTCCATCCCCGACGAAGACCGAGAGCAGCCCCTCTCCATTTTGAACAGCACTCGCTGTCGGCGTCGCCGCGGAGGTGAAGATTTGAGGCAGAAGGCGCCTTTCAACAGCGGCCGCTGTAGATCTGGGACAACATGTGCTGTTCGGCGTCGTGCCCAATTTCTCCGTACCCATCTCGGGCGTGCCTCCTCCGCAGAGGTCCAACGTATTGAACAATTCAATGCGGAGGTGTTCCCCGTGTACGGCCGCCTTGCGGCAATTGCCGAGCCCCTGGCCGGGGCCGTCAACAGACGACTCCGGATAAGAAGTGGGCCCAGGGGAGACAGGTCGGGATTTCCTAGGCATCCTGAATGGGATCGGAGTAGATGGGGTCGGAGAATCGCACCGAGTCGCCGATGCATCGGCGATGCGTCGGCGATGCGGCTCGATGTGGAGCCCAATTACCCAATTTTCTCCACGCCGACGTCGGCGATGCATCGGCGATGCATCGGCGTGATTGCGCGATCCTCGGACCCCATCTACTCGGACTTCATCTAGGAGGCCTCTAGACTTACTGGGACCCCGCATTGAAAACAACAGTACATTAGATCGCTGAGTCTCCTTCGGACCGCACCTCCTTCTGCTCGCCGAAGCGCTGGCGGCAGCAAAAGGCGGCCCACCTTCTCGTCGCGGGAGGCGAGGACCCTCGGTCGGCGTTGACGCCGCCCTTCGCGCCGGGAAACATCGAGGAAGACAAAACGGTATGAACTTATAATTTCGGAGTTCCTCGCGGCTTTCTTGGATCGGCGCCTGGGCCCCCTCTGGCGGCGCCTTCGGCGCCGCCCATGGCGCGTTCCGCATGTCAGGGAGGGGGTTCAGCAAATTGCAGCAAACCCAGGATAACCTCTGAAGATCTTTCGTTCTTCTCCTCCCTCCCTGTTTCTCTTCTCACAGCGGGGAAAACAACTCGTCCATTCTCTTCCTCCAGCTCCTCTTCCTCCTCCTCCTCCGGATCCTCCTCTTCCTCCTCCTCCCCGTTTTTCTTCTCCTGCTTCCCCTCCTCGTCGTTGTCCTCTTCCTCCTGCTGCTCCTCCGACTTAAACGGTAGCCTACTATCCGTTCTTGCGACCATGCCCTGTCCAATATTATCCCTTTCCTTGTGTTTTTTTGCCCAAGGGCACGAAAAGTGATCATTCTGCCCCGCGCCCGTGTTAGACTCGTGTTAACCACGTGCGAACCCACGTGCAAAAAGATATCACACAACATGCATCCGATTGTCATATTTGGTAGCGGAGCCCCGGTTCCCGTCCACGACCTTTCGCTGCCATGGCCCGCGCGGCACCTCCTCGAGTTTCTTGCTGGCTCCATTCTATAGCATCCTTCGTTTTTCGCGTCCGGCAGAAACGCTCTTCTTGCCTTCCGTGTTCACCCACCTCGCGTTCGCTAAGACTCAGGAGGGGAAAAACACACAGACACGATTAATCGGCGATTCCCAGAAAATATGGGAAAATATGGGAAGTGGGGGGGAAGACAGAAACCCAGAAAATATGGGAAAATATGGGGGATATTTTTATTTGTGTGTATTTATTTGTGTGTCCCAGTTTCCCTTCAATGGTCCCGAGTTGTTTGCCAGTGTGTCGCTGGAGCCCTGGGGAATGTAGGCGGAAAAGATTCGGGACAAAAATGGGCATCCAAGTGAAGCGTCGGACGTATATGGCGTCACTCGTCCAATGGATTGTGAAACGGGTCTGGGACGACCTGTTCCCCACCGAAGTCTGTCAGACTGGCAGGACGAGGCCCCGACGCGCGCTCTCCTGGACTATCGCGCACTTAGCGGTACCCAGTACAGTGACGACGCGACGCAGGAGGGGCATGTCCGCGTTTTACGGTGCAGAATGCCCCGAGTGTGGCGAAAGTGACGACGACGCGGCGCGCGAAGGACCTATTCGCAATCACGTTGTGGGATGTCCCCAGTGCGGTGACAGCCACAACGACGCGAGGGAAGATAACACCCAACACAACGACGAAGGGAAATGCATTCGGGGCAGGGGCCCACGCTGGCTCCGATGTTCATGGTCAAAGCAACGCCGTCGGTGGGCCCCCGGCCTCCAGCACCTCTGTGGCCTACGGAGAAACCTCCATTCGGATGGGAAGCCATCGTATTGGGCACGTGTGCCTTGGCCAGCTGCCTTGCCTGCATGGGCGCACGAGACGGCAACGGCAGCATGCGGTTTCTGTGCGCTTGGGGGCCCGAGCAGCATTTCTGAGTGCACTTCCAACGCTGGGCGCGGAAGATGATGAGTAGGTAAGTGGCGAACTCGCGCCTTCTTGAGTTGTGTCAGGCGGCCTACGCGGCATCTCGCCTCACTGGCATGGCCCGAGAATGCGCGGGCGAGTTGCCGCCAGCTGTCTTCATAAAGGGAGGTGCTTTCAACGGGACCCAGTGCCACCGATGAGCGTTCTGATTCACAGTCTGGCCGACCGTTTGGACCAAGCGGGCGGGGAGGGGTCCGTCTCGGCAGCCTCAGCGCTGAAGACTTCAAACGGTTGCCGCAGGAGCACATCTAACATGCCCACGCGCTTCGTCATCATCCGCGAACGCGCCCGGCAAGCTGGTCAATCCATGGTCGGCCACGGCGGTCCCAGCTTCGCCCTCGCGCGCGCGGTAGGACTCGCAGCTGAATTGGATGCTGTAGTGCTGGAACATGGCCGACCCGACCGACGCAGCGCAACTCGCAAGTACGAGGTGTCAACTGCGATTTTTTTGGGATGTGATCGCGGGGGCGCCTGGCAATCTCGCTTCGGCGTTTCACTCAGCCCAACAGCGAACCTTTCTCGCGGGCGCTCCCGCGCAAGATCAGTCTCACTGCGTCTATAGCACAGCAGCCACATCGAGCCGGGACGACCTGGGCCCATCAGCTCTGGGGCCGGCGCCGAGCCCGCGTGCGCCAGCACCGCCAGCGCAGAGAGCAATCCCAGCAGTGGCCATTGACTCTGGCGCCGACGCCGACAGCATCAGTTTATTCGACGAAGGGCTGCCGCCGGCGACCCCGAGCTACGCGATGTTCCGGCGAAACAGCGCGACGCGCACATGTCTTGGGCCCACGAGCGCGCCAAAGCACGATGGCGACGCTGCAACAACCACGAGCCCGCGCGCCGCGTCCAGGGGGCCACTGCGAGGAACGGCAAGGGCCACGGCAAGGGCGACCGATCCTTCTTGGCCGATTTGCCCGAGCGCGATTTCCAAGAGACGCGGGCTTCGGGGGGGGCAATGGGTTGGAGAAAGAAGACTCAGGGCCAGTGGCATGACCTCGGGCCATCATGGCGACCCTATATGGGCCCCGACGGGGCGCGACTCAAATGCTGCGGGTGCGTCTCAGAGGAACACCTCGTGCGCGAATGCCCCCGGCGCCGCAGCCGAGCGCGCTCTCTTCCTCGACGCTCGCGCCCCGTCGCCATCGGCCCCCGCGCCGCCATCGCCCCCCCCGGGCAGCGATGGCCACGCCTTCGTTTGGGATGATCAGGGGCACCGCTAGCCATGGCAGTCTATGGCTGCAGGCTCTGGCGCGAGTGATCTCCTCTCCCTTGCAGGGCGCTGCCTTTGGAACGGCGGGCGGCCTGCGCCGGCGTCGGCAGGGCCGTGGCCGGCAGCGGCAGCAGCTATTGCGCAAAGTTTACCGTCTTGCAGTTCGTGGCCATAGGTTTCCCGCAGTCAGCGGGCGGGCGCAGCGTTGTCATCGTCATCGCCCAACCCCCACGACGTCAAGCTACGGCGGCTGCGACAGGAGATGGGCAATTTCACGGGCCAGGCGCGGGCCTCGGCTCAGCCACAGGGGTCTGCAACTATTGCGTTGTAGACCCACGCGGCAGCAGCTGGCCGCGCCTGCGGCGCCGACAGCTCCAGCGGCGCAACTTGCACCGCCTCCGTGGACACGAGTTGGCGGTAGATTCCTGCTGGGACAGGGCCAGGTGCGAGATTGGCTGGGGGGCTTTCACGGGCGGGCCGCACTTAGCTCCCACGCCAGCGGCCGACGTGCAGCTGCCGAACTGCGCATGCATGCCGAGCTCGGCATCAGAGCGCCATGAGGTTCGAGCTCCACTTGGCCATGATAATCGGCTCGGGCACCCGCGCCACCGCCACTCTGGATTGGGCTGGCCCTAGTCAACACAGAAAGGCCACTGGACGAGAGCCAATATTCGGGGAGAGTGGCCCTGTGGCTTGCTGGCCGCGAAACCTTGATGTCCAGCGGCAATCGGCCCGAGCACAGCGTGCAATCCGCTCTCGAGCAGACCCAGCAACGAAATTTCGCCGAACTGCGCCGCGTACAGCTAGCAGTAGAACTAGTACGACAGCAACGAAGCCGCCAGGAATTCGACAGAGACGCCGACTGATCCTCCTCCATTGCCTGCCGCAGCGCCAGCTACAGCTCCCGCAGCTGCTGTTTCAACTGCGACGATCGGGAGCGCCCCATCTGTCTCGAGGCCTTCGTTCATTACGAGAGGGTTCTACGGCCACTGTGCCGGCGCACCGTGCACAGCTCATGCCACTTATTGCTCGTGCGGAACACCGACACCATTTTGGTTCACTGCCCGGCGGATTCAGCGGATCACCGACACCAAGGCGGATTCAGCCGACGTCGTCGCCGACTTCGGCTCCATGAGTGCACATCGTGCATCCACGGGACCGGCGCCAATGGCGCCGACCCGTGGCCCACCAGCAGGAGACGCGCCGCAGGGAACACCACAATTGCAGGACAGCACTATCTCCTCGGCCATCTCCGGCACACGGGACACCGCGGCAAGATCTCCAGCAAACCCCATGCAATTCTAAGCTTATCCGGCAGCCGCAGTATGCATGCCCCAGGTGCCCATTCGAGCCCGAGCCCGCAATCCTCGATGAAAGCCCCCAACGGGAAGAGTGGCTGGAGAGGGGTGTCGGACCCATCGTGCGCCACGTCGTCTTCCCCTGTCCTGGCCCCCCTGCTACCCGCTGCCTTCAGGAGATCGACGCGCCGCGTCTCGACCCCGGGTTCCGCCCCCACTTGAATCGAGCGCAACTCGCGCGTGGCGCCCGCGTCGGGCAGCAGCATCCGATTGTCGCCAACTTGCACCAAGCGCGCCGCGGCCACCGCCGCGCGCGGGCTTGCCGCCGGAGTCGTCGACGTCGCTCATATGTCCAGCCACCCGGGGTCCGGGTCCACGGACGCGACGGCTAACGCAGTGCCGGGCAGCCCCTCGCCTGCCAGAGCCTGACTCGTCGCAGCCACCGCCAGTCCGAGCTGGTCCGCCTGCGACGCAGGCTGCGTCTGCGCACCCGCGCTGCCTGAATCCGAAGCCGAGGCACAGGCGCCTCCAGGCTTCTTTGGCCGCCCCCTGCTGGTTCTGCTGCCTTGGCCGCCGCCTCGCGCTTCGGGCGCGCGCAGGCGTCCTTGGAGCGCTGTTTGCTTCCGCAGTTACAGCGCTTCCCCTCGCTGGCCAACAAGATGCGCTGCGGCCACGCGCGCGCCCCTCCCTGCTTGCAGTTGGCGTCGGACTCAAAGAACCTGCAGGAGTTCGGTCGTTCCGAGTCCTCGCCGCACTTTGACGGTCGCTTGCGCTGTGGCCGTCGCGTTGGCCTGGGCCTCAGCCTTGTCCCGGGCCTCAATGGCAGCTGCGCGCTCGCTCTCCGGCTTGGCCGTCCGCGCAGGCTAGCTTCCGCGCTCAGGTAGCGCCAAAATTCGCCCCCACTCGCCTGGCTCAGCATTCCAAACAAGCCGCGGTTCATCTGGAGCGCGTGCAGCCCGCACTGGAACGCCGAGTCCGCGGGCGCCATGCGCCGCACCATCTGGCGTAAAGTGTGTCCGCCTGGACGGTTGGGTCGGGGACGGCCATGCCCAGCCGCGGACGGCGCGTGATGTCGAATGTTGTTTTGTGTAGAAATGACATTAGACAACATCTTGCATCTGCGCCCCCCATGGCTGATGCTCACGGGATTCGACCGCCGTGAGCGTCAGATTTCGGGTCCCGCAGCGTGCCCGGCCCCGCTGGATTGGGCCCAGCTGCAGGCAGTCGTCGCAGGCCGCGGATGTAACCCTCAGCGCCCGTGCCCATTACGCCTCGACGGTTCCATGCCACCCGCCGATGCGAAGACTGGCGCGCTGCAGCCATGTCTCAAGGTCGCCGCCTTCGGCGCCCCTGTTGTGAACTCCAGCTTCGGGATGTCCGTGTCGCGCAGCTTTGGCTAAGACCGTCTCCAAGCTGCTCGCTCTTCCACTGCCGCGGTCTGCGGCCTCCGCGCCGCAAGCAGATCCCGCGAACGGCGGGGGCGGGGGCGTGGGAAGGTCTCCATCATGAGCTCCTGCAGCACGACCTCCTCCATGCGCTCCACGGCTGGCGAAGGCCGCCTCCCTGGGAAAGTCCAGGGTGACGTCCTCCTCCTCCTCCTCCTCCTCCTCCTCCTCCTCCTCCTGCTCCTCCAGGGAGGTCTCCGCCTGGCGGTCCGCCGCCTGGCGATCCGCCGCCTGGGGGAGGCGGCAGCCCCTGCGCATTCTGCGGCCAACATCCGCCACCGTAGTTGGCCAAGCGTTGCCAAGACCTGGCGGCTGCGCCATGCTCGGAACAGCTGCGCCCGCTGGTGGAACGCTAACGTGGCCCGTCGCCCCAGGCATGGCCAACATGCTGCTCCCTGAAGGCGAAGGACCAGCCGCGCTCGTGGTCGTCCCGCTCGCCGCCGCTTGCACCACCAGGCTAAACGGACTGCGTCACCGCTTCGATTTTCAGCGCTGCGGTTTCCTCCGCAGCCTGTCCTCGCGCCGCGTCGTCAGCAGCACCTGCATCAGCTTGCTGCTGCTGGTTCGACTCCTGCGCCTGCGGAGTCGTCGGGCCAGCGATACCCTTCGCGTGCCCGATGCTCTCGTCGTCTCCCGGCGTCGCGTAGCCACCTGGCATCCAGCATTGTCTCCAAGGCCGGGCAGCTCAAAGTTCCTGCGCATGAGTTCTTGGACCCTTCGGCGAAGCCACTGCACCTCCGAGTCCACCTCCTGGAATCCTGGAGCTTGCTGCTCGCAGCCCCCGGGTCTGAGAGCTGTGGCAGCGCGCGCGGGCGCGCGGGCGAGCTCGCCCCGGCCCACGTCTGCCTGGCGCCTGCAACGGCGCCGCCGGTCAGCCGCATGGCACCAGTCACCGCTCCAGAAGCTGCAGCGCCGAGCACTTGTCCGGCAAATTGTCCTCCAGCTGCGGCTGCCCGGCCCATGTGCGCCGGCCGTGTGGTAAGTCCATGTGGCTTGGTACTGCGCCATCACCATGCTACGTTCAGCCACACCTGCGAAGCATGCCGGCGTCATCCCGTACACCTGCATGCATTGGTTATGGACCTCGATGTTGCAGACGCCGCAAACCGCAGGAGGTCCAACCACATAGTCCAGGCAGCTGCGACATTGCCGCGCATGTTGCGGCGTTGGGCTCACAACCCTGTGCAGGGCTATGCTCTCGACGGGCCCCGCGAAAATATGATCACTAATATCCCGTCGGCGATATCAGACAGCAGACGTGTTGTGTCCTCCCGATGTATCGGCAAGGGCTCCTTGCGAATTCTCTTCGGCTCTATATACCGAAGCGCTCGCAAAGTAACGCATTGGTAGACACAATTATTCGTGTGAGTTGTCGGAGTTGATGAGGGTCAGGCTTGTGGGCCTTGAGACAAAACAGTCCGAATACAAGCTGTCCTGCTGCCAGGGGTCGCATTGCTGCAAACACCCGCCGGAGCTTCTGACCCGAGGTGGTATTGCTACGCACCTTTTCGCATACACACATATATATATATATATAAATGTATCTCCGCTCGAAGGGTGTCTTACGATAATTGCCGCACTATAAACGTTCCACTCGAATCTCACACTTAAAATACCAAAGACGAAAACCGACCCCTTTTTGACTGAAATGTGTCGGCTTCTCTGGCGGAGGCCCTGGAAGGTCGCCAGCGCAAAGTGAGTTCTTTATTCATTGTTTTGCCGATCGGCGCGTGCCCTCGTACCCCCCCCTCCCCTCCTCCCCTCCCCCCCGATCTTGGCTGTATGTTGGCGCCTGTTTCGAGCGGGTGGGATCTTCCCCAGAGGCAGCACTCTTGCAAACGGCCGCACTGAGCAGAGGTCTGGAGCCAGACCCCCCCCTCCCTTCCCGTCCAAGGTCGAAACGCCGAATGAAAAAAACGCACACGAGCTACTGGGACGTCACCAAATCGTTGACCGTGCTCAGCAATACTTCATGCAGGCGCCCAACGCGGCAACGAACATGTCACGATTTGCGGCCCTGCCGAGCCTCTTCGTCCGTGGCCGCCCACCTCCCCTCGGGCGGGTGGCAGCTGGGGGGGGAAGGACAGGGCCCCAAAGGGGGCGGTTGGAGCCAGCAGGGCCCCGAAAGGGCCATTGAGGTCGCTCCCCATTACCACGAGGAGGTGGAGGAGAGGAGGAGGAGGAGGAGGAGGAGGAGGAGGAGGGGAGGAGGAGGAGAGGAGGAGGAGAGGAAGCGCAAGAGGAGGAGGAAGGAGGAGGAGGAGGAGGCGGAGGAGGAGGAGGAGGGGGAGGAAATTACCAAACGAACGCTTTGGCATAGCCTTCCGCGCGTGCAGAGTCGCCGCTCCCTCCCCCCACCTTTGCCGTCCATTCTGCTCCGCGCCCCCCCCAGTCTCCTCCCCGCCCTTCCTCCGCTCCCTCTCCTCCCCTCTGCCCTCGTCCCGCCCCCTCGCCCCTCCACTCTTCCCCCCCTCCTTCCTCCTCCCCATTTCCCCCCCCCTTCCCTCCCCAACCTTCCCCTTCCTCCTCCACATCCTTCCTTCCTTCCTTCCCCCCCCTCCCCTCCGCTCCTCCTCCCCATCCTTCCTCCTGACTTTCCCCCCCCTCTTTCCTCCTCCCCATCCCTCCCCCCCTTCCCTCCCAACCCACCCCTCTCCCTTGCGAAGGGGCCACCCGGTCTGGATGGTCTTCGTAGAAAGAGCCCTTTGATTGGGGAAGGTCGAGTTCTTGACTCTCCAGAGACACACCCGATGAGCCTCCCCATTTCTCCAACTCCTCCCCTCTCTCCATTTCCCCCCCTCCTCCCTTCTCCCCCTCCCCTGCTTCCCCCCCGCCCTTCCCCTCCTCCTGCTCCCCCCAACCCACCTTCCCGCCACCGGTCCTTCTCGCCCTCCTCGCTCGCTACCGCTTCCCACCATCACGATGCTCCGCCTCCGCCGCTTCCATCCTTCCGCCCTCTTTCCCTTCGGCGCGGCAGGAGACGTCGGACGATGATTGGGACATGGGCCACATCCAGGGGGCCCCCTTCGGATGTCTGCCTCCCCCCGGGCGTAGGAGGGGGGATGGAGGGTGGCGGAGAAGGAGAAGGGAGCAGGAGGAGGAGGAGGAGGAGGAGGAGGACAGCGACGATGACCCTGGGCCAAAGAGGGAGGGGGGTGGTGAGACGGAGGAGGGAGGAGGGAGGATGAGTTGGGAGGAGGGCTACCCCCTCACGATTCATCAACGATGCCCCCAGGAACCCCCCTCACTTCGAAAGCCCCCAGATCAGACCCCCCCCAAAGGGCGGGGGTCTGATCTGGGGGGTGGTTTGTTTGGAGCTGTCTTGGAGGGTTCCGCGGGGGTCTGGGGCAAAACGCCGCCACTGCGTGGCTGGTTTGGGGGGGTCTAAGAAACTGCCCGTCTGGGAGCGTCGTGACCCCCTCCCTCTCATTTCGAAATTCGGAGCCCTCCAAGGCTTCCTCGCCGAGGCCGTTTTGGACGCTCCGACACCTCGCGAGACCCCCTGTCCAGGTCCAGGGGGGGGGGCAGGGGGAGGGGTAAACCCCTCCCCGGAGGGAAAGAAGGAGGGGTGGAAGAGGAAACTCCCCAGACCGCCGACGCCCAGAGGGCTGGTGGGATGCGGAGCACCACTCTCGCTGCCCGAGGCTCCGTGCCGAAAGACGGCCACGTGGGCCCGCAGTCCGGGCTCGGCGTCGCGCAGGCGTGCTCATCCTCTGTGCGCGTCGCCCCTCCATGGGGCGACGCGCGCGCGCCGAGAAAAAGACGCTTAACGTATAAGCTCCGTAGCGGGCGCTTCCTGGCTATACCGCTCGGGAAACGATCGGCTACAATATGTTTATGCGATGTGTTTTGGTCGGACGCGCGCGCGCTCGCTTCGCTTGCCTCTCTTTTCCTGCTGCCTAGTCGCGGCCCGGCTAGTGTTCGGACGGCTTTCGCCCTGCTTCGCGAGCCCGCAGACCAAAAAAGACTGGTCGGACGCACGCCTCCAAGGAAGACGCGCAGCACCAGTATATCCTTTGCTCGTCTCATGGCCGGGAGTTCCGCTCTGAGACGAGGAGCTGCCCCACGGTGTAGTTCGCAACGCGCCTACCGGCGGCGGCGACCGGCGCTCACGGGGCGCTCCGCGTGGAACGCCGCCGGCGACCCAGAATATCGGACACGGCCGATCGTTGGAGGCTGTCACTCCAGGTGGCATCATCCGTTCCAGAGCACCGCGGAGCGCTCCCAGAGCGTTCCAGAGCGCTTTGAGAAGGCCGCGACGCCCGATACGTCCTCCAGAGCCGCCGGATCTCAGAGATTCTCGATGTATCTTCACCCGACTGTATCCTCGTCCCGGTTTCGTCTTATCTTTGGGGGGCGACTCACCTTCCGACGGAGCGTCCACGTCCCTCCCCCCACACCGCCCCTCCACGCGCGTCCAAGATTCTCCCCCCCTCACCTGGCCCAGGAACTTGAGCTTGAAAACTGCCATCCCCCCAGTCCCCCCCGACAGCACGCGCCCATCCCCCTCACCCCGAACACTAAGGGTGGGGATTGTTATGCCATCCGGAGTAGATGCTCGTTTTGGGGATCGTTTTGGGGCCCACCTAGTGGATCAGTAGACCCGTTCGAGTTCATCGGCTCCAGTATGACCCAAGTTCGGCTCAGGTTGGACTGAGGTTCGTCTCAGGTTCGATTTAGGTCCGACCCGAGTCGACGGACGTTCGACGCAGCTTCGACGCATGAGTGGAGCGAGTGGTTCCAGGAGGGTCCCCATAATGAGCATCAGGTTGAACGATCTACGCGGTGCGGCAGACCAGCGTCGCAGTCGGCACGACACGCACTCCTAGAGCGTTCTGGAACGCCCTGAGAAGGCCTCGGCGCCAGAGACATCTTCCGGAGCCGCTGGATCTCTTTAGCCGAGAAGGGAATCTTGGAAATCTTAGGGAATCCCAAAGAGCCCCAGCAGTGGCCGCCGCGGGAGGGGGATCATTTTCCCAGTACTGTTTTCGGTCCGAATTCCGCCAATAAGGCCGCGCAGAAAGAATAATTCGTGTTCGTTGTAAAACACGGGGCTCATGAAAGACTCGTCGCGGTTGAATTTGTTGAAGACGAGCGTTCGCGCGGGAGGGTCAAACCCACCCTCACCCCTGTTGGCGGCGGGCGAGGGGAGGTGCGTCGTCGGGGAAGGCTCCGAGGACTTCTCAAGAGGGCCGGGGGACGTCCCGAGGCTTGACCTAAACGGTGTTTTTGGCGATTTCGTGGGCCGTTTTCGCTTGGACTTCGTTTTGAGGTAAATCAAGAGGAAAAGAAACACACAGACACAATTAATCGTCGATTTCCGAAAAAATATTGGAAAATATGGGAAGTGGTGGGGAAGACAGAAACCCAGAAAATATATAAAAATATAGAGAATATTTTTATGTGTGTGTATTTATTTGTGTGTCCTGGGGCCCCTTCAGTAAAGGCGGACTCGAGACAAACGCGAGGGACCACGAAAGCAGAACGAAAACGAAAAACACCTTTTAGGTTCAGCTCTGGGACGTCCGAGCCTGCGGAGAGCGCCTGCTCCGTCTCACTTCCTCGCGGCACTCGCCGCCGATGCTTGTCAGGAGATGGAAGTGTTCGCGGGCGATTTTTCTCCCCCAATCCCCGAGCTTCGCCCGAAAAGTTCGGCCACTCAGAAAAATGGGAAAACCTTGGGATACGCCCCAAGAGGGCTATTCGGACGCACCCGCATCGAGGATGGGCACCCCCCCCGTCGTATATCCCAGGGTTGGGCCGCAAGTTTATGGTCCATTCGGAAACCCCACGAAGCCTGGGATAGGGGTCGGCATATCCTGTGTCAAGTGTCTTTGTCGAGGGCCCTTCTGGTGAAAGGGAGCCGCCCTCCGCCCGTGAAACTGCAGTGCTCTTCGTTGAGAGAGTCTCCGGCGATGGCCCACAGCATTTGTGTAAGTGTTTTTGTTTTTAAAAAAAAGAAGAAATAACATCTGGCGTAAAGACATAGCATAGACTACAACCGTCCTACATGCGTGTAGCAGTTGTGTTTGTTTCCAAGGCGAGGGCATACAGACGAGCATGTTGGCCAGCGCCGAGCCCATGCAGTGAGTCACTGCACTGTGCATGCGACAGCTGTGCGATGCAGGCGCTGCTGGGTAGGCTGCGAGGAGCAAGCTCTGCGGCGCAAGCTCTGGGGCGCACGTCGTGCAGTGCAAGCTGCGTGGTGCAGGCCATTTCGCGTAAGCTGCTGGTCCAAGCCGTGCGGTGTAGGCTGTGTGCTGCAATCCATGGGGCGCAAGCCCGGCGCACGGGGCGCGCAGGAGACGGCACGGGCGGCTGTGTGGCGCAACCTCGACGAACCCACGCGTCGCACATGGCGCGCACGTGGCGGCACGAGGCGGCAGCGTGGCGAATTTTTTTGAACCCATCGGGCTTCCTTAGGCACTCGAAGTAAGAACCTCTTCGTGTGATCGTTTGTTTCTTCCTTGTTTCGCCGATCGGCGCGGGCCCTCGCAGCTCCCCTCCCCTCCCCCGCGCCCATGGAGTAGATCTTGGTTCTCTTCGTTGCCTGTTTCGAGAAGCCGGGTTCCTTCCCCTTTAGGACGAATTGTTCCAAACAGTCGCACTAAGCAGAGGTCCAGAGCCAGATACGCCCAATGCCGAAACGCCGAAGAAATAAACGTTCACCATGCGAACATTGATTGGGGGCAAGAGTTGCCCTCCATCCGCGTAAGCGTTCGAAGCGCCAACCCGAATGCACGCGGCGCCAGGGTCGCATCCCCATATTGACAACGACGCATCCTCCGTCCGTACATTTGTCTGGAAACGACGAGAATGCATCCACGGCGTCGAGGCGGCCATCCCATTTCGCAAACGACCGCCCTCAATCCGTGTTACCATGGGCTTTGAACTTTGAGTAGCATTGACTGTGGGGCAGTCTCTCAGTCGACATGCTTGGCCCGCCCTCTCTATCCATCTGGTCTTACGACCTGGAGGAGCAGGAGCGGAGCAAGAAGTGGGTGGATAATGCGTAAGAGTAAGGAGCAGTGTGGGAATGGGGAGGAGGAATGGGAGAAGGAATAGGACGGAGATGACCAGAGAGGAAAGGGGATGGAAGAGCAGAGATGGCGAGGAGAGGGAAGTGGAGAAAAAGAATTCGGAGGAGAGAGGGGATGAAGGGTGGAGGCATATGAGGCAGAAAGGATTGGGGAGAGGCGGGGAATATTCAGTGGAGTTCAAAGATGGAAGGAGAAGAAGAGGAGGAGGAGGACAGGGGAGTCAAGCGAGGCGGAGGAGGGTAAGGGTCGACGGAGAAGGAGAAGCAATGAAGAGGAGGTATGGAAAAGGACGGATGATGCTCGAAGGGGGAGAGGTGTGGCGGTGCGGCGGGAGGAGAGTTGGAGGGAGTGAGGAGGAGGAAGAAGAACATGCGGGCGGGTGGGATGACAGGGAGGATGGGAGGGTACGCTGGGCGACCCTCACAGACCACGGAGATGGCGAGATCCGTTCACCTCCCTGCGGGAGGTCGAGAGGATACGAGCGAGCGAGCCTTCACCCACGGCGAACACCAGGAGGTGGAGGAGGAAGAGGAGGGTTAACAACCCGAAGGGAGGAGGCGGGAAGGAAGAGGAGGAGGCGAATCTACAGGGCGAGGCAGACGTCGAACGAGGCCCCCTGAACGTCACCCACTCGCTGCAGAACCGGCGCTGGAAGGAGCCCTGCGTCGCCTACACGGAGTCGCACGACCAGGACTGCCTGCCCCGCCCACCCCCCCCCCCCCCCCTCCCGTCCTGGTAGCTCCGGCTGCGCGGGAGAGTGGCCCTCTGCCTGCCGACTCGTTGTGGCGTGGGTCGCCAGGGGATTCTCCCCAGCCTCGGTGGTGCGCGCCGGGAGCTGGCTCCCCATCGCGGCGATTCGGGGCTACATATTGATATGACGTATACTTCTCCGGGGGCGCCTGTCCCAGGGCGATGGGCAAGTTCATACCCCAACGGTGGCAGGTGGGAGTAGAATTAAGTCGGTCTTGTCCCTCTGCAGGGGGACATTTACAACATAGGTCTGGGGACGGCTTTTCTAAAATTCTTCTGTTTGGAATATTGTTTGATTTTTTAGTAGGGGCATGCCCGAGCTGCGAGTAGGAGCCTCCCAGCCGCCCGGGGGCTGGCGCCCCCGACGGCGGCGCACGGTCCTGCCATGTGGCCAGGGGCCTCCCCGGGGGCCTCCTGTGGCGGAAGGCTCGGATGTCCAGCTCGTGCTCCCCCCTTGTGTTTTTGCCCAGCTCCTGCGGTACAGTCGGGGCCCTGAAGAAGGATTCCTTTTCGTTGGGGAGGGGCTCCGCGTTCCTTAAGTGTTTCACAGCTTGCCTCAGGCTTTCCTTCTGCTTTCGACAGGAAATCGAAGGTTAACCCATGGAAAATAGGGGCGTTTTCCTTATTTAGGGTTCCTTGGGTCAACGCCCCTACTGTATGCTCGGTGCCGATGTGTGTCGTGCCTGCCTGGGCCCCTGCAGGGCAGGGTGCGGGGCGCGGGCGGTGCCTCCTCGCGCCCCGCCCGCGCGCCTCCGCCATCTCCCGCCTCCGCGCGCCGCCGCCGCGGAGCGGCGGCCGCCGCGAGGCCATCGTCGGCGACAAGACCCAGGCGTTCTGGCTCATGGACGGGCAGGGGCCGGCGATTAGGCGGAAGCTGGAAAAAGTGTCTGGGGCCAGCTTGTCCGCTCGTTCCAACCCTGGCCGGTCTCCCTGGCTCGTTCCCAGCCGCGGCGACCGCATCCCTGCCGTTTCGGGCTCGCTTCACCCACTGCCAGTTTTTTGTCCAGCCCTGGCCGCTTCCACTTTCACTGACTTTCCAACTTCGCTTGTTCCAGCTTCCCCGTGCAAAGGGTACGGTTACGCCAGGGTGTGGTCTGCGATCGGCACCGCTGGGGGCGGAGACCTGTGTCGAGTTCCTCGCCCGCTCCCCGTGGGTGCCCCGCCCGGCAGGGCTGGACCTCAACGGTGTTTCGGCCATCTCGTGGGCCGTTTTGTTATTGTTTCGTGTTGCATTCAAGGCGAGATAGACTGAACAACAACACGCAACCGAAAAACATTGTTTAGGTTCAGCCCTAACCCTGCCGCAGGGTGCCCGTTGCAATCCACACCCTCTGCAAAACACACCCGTCGGAGTCGCCGAATAGGGGAGGGATCTCAGAGGAGGAGGAAGAGTAGGGGCAACGCAAGACTCGAGTCTGCCGGAGCTCGGGTTCACCACCAGTCTTTGACGGGCCCGTCCTGGATTTTGACGGTCCAGTTGTCTCGGAATGTTTGTAGCGGGAATTCGCATTAAATGTCATATTGGATCACGTCATTTTCTTGATGGGCCCGTCAGGCCAAACCGAGTCCCCCGAACCCGAGTCATTACGTCTCCCCGGAAAGGTACCGATCTCGCTATACTCTAATCTCGTTTTCCTTGTGTTGGAGCCTCCTGGAGGCCCTCGTCGCTTCCTATGAATTCGCTTCGAAATCTTGGTCAGAACGAACCGCGGGAGACGTCCGTGGAGTAGCGGTATCGTTACCTGTCGGTTTCCCCAGGGGGGGTCCGATGTTTATTCATGGGAGCCTAGGGTGGCAACGCTGAGGTCAGCGTCCCGTGCATTTGGACACTATTTGAAGTACATTTGTCCCTTCCTCCTGGTCCTCCTCGCCCTTCCTGCTTCTCCGCCCCCTCCTCTCGTCTCCATTGTGGAAAGGGCGAACCTAGTCCAGATCTGGTCCAAATCTTTCCCAAGAAGGAGAAGCACAGCAAGGATAATCATGACAAGCTAGGCCTGCCAGACGGTGTCGGAGCAGATGGCGTCGGAGGGTCGCGCCGCATCGCCGATGCGTCGGCGATGCGGCCCGATGTGGAGCACGCCTCTCGCCGCGCCGATGGCCACGGTGCACCGCCGACGCCGCCGAGGCCTCGCTGACAGCGCCGACCCCGGGCAGGGCGGGAGCCTCCTCCTCCTCCTCCTCGTCCTCCTCCCTCCTCCTCCTCCTCTTCCTCCTCCGCTGTCCTCCTCCTCCTCCTCCTCCTCCTCCTCTCCTCCTCCTCCTCCTCCTCCTCCTCCCCCCCCTCCTCCTCCTCCCCTCCTCCTCCCTCCTCCTCCTCCTCCTCCTCCTCCTCCTCCTCCTCCTCCTCGCCCCCTCCTCCTCGTCCTCCTCCTCCTCCTCCCTCCTTCTCCTCCTCCTCCTCCTCCTCCTCCTCCTCCTCCTCCGCCTCCCGCCCCCTCCTCCTCGTCCTCCTCCTCCTCCTTTCTCAGACGAGCGCTGGAAGACACCCCGAGGCGCGGGTCGCCGGGGAGCACCCCGAGGCGGGCCAGCCTCCGACGGCCCGCGGGAAGAGGCCCGAACGCTGCGCGGAGTGCTCGGGGAGCTTCTGCGGCTCGAGGGCGCCGCGGAGCTCCCAATTTCTGGAGGGGGGGGGCGCCGACGAGCTCAAGCGAGCGACGCCGGAGGAGGGGTCGTCTGCGCCGATGTCGGCGCGTAGGCTGCCCGCGCAAGGTCGCGCGCGAGCGCCCTCGTCTCCAGAGTGGCGTGCCGCGCCAGCGGCCCGCGCAAGCCACCACGTTCGGCTAGACGCAAGAGTGACCTTTCGCCGGAGTGACCTTTGGTGCGGGCACAGATGGGTCCCCAAATGGCTGAAAACGAAGCAGCAGCAGCAGCTGCTTGCGCGCCCAGGTTTGGTCCCCCCGCGGCACCCAAAAAGTCGTGCACCAAAGATCGCTCTAACCCAGGGTCACTCCTGCGTGTAGCCGACACGTCTGGTCGCTGTGTCATCTCGCGTGAGACGCGTTTTTGATCGTCGCTCACAATTTCTGCGCTGGCCTCTCCACCCGAGATCCGACGTATTGGAGAACATGAGGTGGCGGTGTTCCGCTGTCTCCCGCCTCTGTGTGGAAGCGTTGTGGGATTGTCGACGAGTGCATGAGGTTCCAGAGCTTGTGTTGGGATTGCAGAGGTTTGCCACGAGTTCCCTCGCTCATGAGCTAGCCCTTGCTGCGCCTAGGCGTTCTGGCCTATGGATTGGAAGGTGTTAGGCGTCGCCCACTCGAAGATGAAGTCTGCATAGACAAACTTTCGGAGCTCCGCATAGCTGCTCTGGTGTGGCTTGCACGGCCCTGCCTTCAGGCACTTGGCGGAGTGTATTTGTTCCCGTTCGAAGAAGAAATGCCGACTGGTCGTTAAAGAGAGACATTTCTGGATTCCCAGATTCCAGTCCACTGTAAGTGGTGTTCTAGGTCAAGAGTCGAACGATTGTCCCTCTTCCCTCCTTCATGGTTCTACTGGCTTCTTCCGACCGAAGGGTAATTGCTTAAACATACTTTGTTGTTGGAGCTCCGCGTGGATTTCTTGGATCGGCGCTGCCCTGGCGGCGCCCCCATGGCCGTCCTTGGCGCGCTCCGCGCGCCAGGGAGGGGGGTCCAGCGCATTAAAAAATTACCCGGTGACGTATCCAACCCTTTTTAAACATTCGGCGAGTGTAAGTATGTGGTACCGCTCAATGCAAGCAAACATGCTGAATCCATCATGTTGAAGGACCCGCAGTGCGCGCGAGCTCTAAGAAGTACAGCAAGAAACCTCATAGGGACGGAGTCATAAGCATACGGAGGAGGGTGAAGAGAGACATGCATGTTCAGTAGCGTTGTACGCTACCTGCGCGGGACAGAACAGCGCCATGCGCCCTATAGCAGAACAGCTCGCATCGCTGGGCGATGCAAACGCACTGGGTGGCATGGCGGGCCAGAGGCAGCTGAGGATTGAAAACCACGATTACAAAAGACATTGCCATGCGCTGCGTGGCGCAGCGGTTCACTGCGAGCTGCGATGCGACAGCGCCGAGCGTTGCGTGACCAGACAGCGCCGAGCGCTATGAGAGGTCCTCGCCTTTTCGATGCGAGTAGTTGCCGTCAATTGCATCTCTGGTCGGCGCCCGCGCCAGTGAGGCTCCAGCGAAAACCACGCGAACTCGCCCGACACCGCAGGCAGCCCACGAACGTGACGACAGTTACGCACTTCGCAGCCTCCCCCCAGGGCGCTGCGAGATCTCGACGAGGCCTGCGGTGACTGCTGACTCCGCCGGACCAACCTTGAGGTTCATGGAAGTGGAGATAGTTGCGCACATGGCAGCCCTGAAGAGAGCCGCGAGGTTTCGATGGGATCCCGATGCCTTTCCACTCCGCTGGACCTCCCAGGAGCCCACGACAATGGCGACAGTTTGACTTTTTGCGGCCCCCCCAGGGAGCCGCGAGAACTCAGCTGGATCCCCGTGCAACCCCACTCCGCGCGACTTCCCGGGACCCCACGGAAGTGGCGAGCGTTGCACACATCGCGGACTCCCAGGAAGCCGCAGACCTCAATTGGATCGCTGTACAACTCCACTCCGCTGGAATTCCGAGGAGCCCACGAACGTGGCGACCGTTATGCATTCCGCAGCACCCACGGGAGCCGCGAGGTATCAAGTAGTTCCCCGTACAACTCCACTCCGCTGGACCTCCTAGGAGCCCAGGAGCCCACGAAAGTGGCGAGCATTATGCATTTCGCAGCACCCAAGGGAGCCGCGAGGTATCAAGGAGATCCCCGTGCAACTCCACTCCGCGCGACCTCCCAGGAACCCACTGAAACGGCGACGGTTTCGCAGTTTGCCGCATCCCAGGGAGCCGCGAGGTCTCAACTGGATCGCCGTGCAACTCCACTCCGCACGACCTCCCAGGAGTCCACGAGCGTGGAGTCAGTTGCACTTTTCGGGGCCCCCCAATGAGCCGCCGGGTCTCAGCTGAGCCCTCGTACATTCCACTCCGCGCGACCTCGCAGTAACCAACGAACGTGTCGACGGCTTCACACTTTGCCGCTCCCCAGGGGGCCGCGAGGTCTCAAGTTGATCGCCGTACAACGCCACTCCGCTGGACCCGCCAAAAGCCAACGAAAGTGGCGACGGTTACGAATCTCGCAGCCCCCAGTGGAGCCGCGAGGTTTCAAGTCGATCCCCGTACGCCTCCACTCCGCGCGATCTCCCAGAAACCAACGAACGTGGCGACAGTTTCACACTTCGCAAGCCCCCAGGAAGCCGCGAGTTTCCCAGCAGCCCACGAACGTGGCGACAGTTTCGCACTTCGCAGCACCCTGGGGAGCCGCGAGGTCTCAACTGGATCGCCGTACAACTCCACTCCGCTGGACCTCCCAGGAGCCCACGAACGTGCTGACAGTTTCGCACTTCGCAGCCCCCCCCCCAGGGGGCCGCGAGGTCTCAACTGGATCGCTGTACAACTCCACTCCGCTGGACCTCCCAGGAGCCCACGAACGTGCTGACAGTTTCGCATTTCGCAGCCCCCCAGCTCGCTGCGAGGTCTCAACTGGATCGCCGTACAACTCCACTCCGCTGGACCTCCCAGGAGCCCACGAAAGTGGCGACGGTTTCACGTCTCGCAGCCCCACAGTGAGATCTGAGATATCAAGTACATTCCCGTACGCCTCCCTTCCGCTGGACGCTCCAGGAGCCCAGGAACGTGGCGACGGTTTCACACTTCGCAGCCCTCCCCCCCGGAGGCCGCGAGGCCTCTCACGGGATCCCCGCACGATGCCATGTTGCGCGACCTCCACCGAGGAGCCCACGAAAGCGGGCCGGGTGGCGATAGCACCAACCG